ACGCTCGTTTTCTTTGAGCACGGATCCACCAAAACTCTATGTGGCTCCAAGAAACATGTTGCCGGAGAAATCATGTTTGAGTTTCCCGATCAAATCGTGTGCCATGCAGATTCCTTCTTCATCGGTCGTCCAGTTCCAGCTCTGGCCATGGACGACTATCTCATCCCAGGTCAAACATATTTTGTCTTACCGATCGAACGTTTTGCCTACAGAATCTTAACCACTTCGTGTCTCTCGATCTTCAACTCTAATCTTGAAAATGTTCGGTCGACTAATCCACCACCGTTGAATTTCACGGCACCGTCGAGTCCACCACCGTTCGAGTATTCTAAGGGGCTAAACGGGAAGATTCTGATAAAAGTTTCTCCGGATTTTATTATGAGTCTTATAAGTAAAAACAGAAACAGCAGCAAAGAAGAGGAGGCAATAATAAATTGTGTTGAAAGCAGTGAGATTTGTAATTCTCCCGAGTTAAAGAAGCATTATGATCAGCTTGTCGGAACGAGAGAACACTTATGGTCACCGAAGTTGCAGACGATCTCCGAGTATGAGATTAGGGTTTCTCCATTAAGGTTCTTGGGGATTATTCGGAGGCAAGAAGAAGGGAAGGTTAAGCTATGAAAAGTATTCTTGTTTCTTCTTTTTTTGTATTTTGATTTGGAAAAAAAAAGGAAAGCTAAAAAAAAATTAGATGGGTTAGTTAAATGTTTGGTTACAAATTAGTCGTGCATGAACAAGTTGACAAATTGCATGATTTTGGAGTATTTCTACAAAGTAATATATACTAATCTGTGAGGTGGTCCGGTATGTACATATGATATGTGGTTCATCCTTGACCATTCAACTAATCTAATTAACTCTGCGTCGCATGTCAATACGTTGTAGCTTTGATGATGATTAATTGGTTTTGTTAGATGGTCTTCAGATGGATTAAAGAAAACAAATAACGACTTATTCGTTTTTTTCTTCGTAATTCCTCCAAATGATGGCTACATTTTCGACTTTGAAAATTTCTCTATTGCCAATCAAATACCTTTATTTTATGTAAGCGTAGGTGAGAAATGAGAATACATTGATAGGTTTCGCACTTCTTTCAGTTGATTTTTACTTCCAAAATTCAACTCTCCACTGAATAAATTGCCAACTTTAGAATTTGGTTTTGGGCCTTATGGGCTGTCCTTTTGGCTCGTATTTACAAGGACCTTTTTATGCCCTACATGAGGCATGATGTGCTTTCGCAATTTTATTTGGAAACGAAATAGAAATCATGCAATCCTATAAACTGGACCTTGGCCTATTGGATGTTCAAAGATGTGTGTGTTTGGCGCCACTGTTGTTTACATACCGAGATATGATAAATTAAGATTATGTATTTCCTTTTAAGGATCAAAACTATAAGCACTTACAAAATTTTCATATTGCCAGTAAGAGATTTTCGATATACAGTTTACATTGCACATGCCTGATTCTCGTATATGTGTGTGTTTAAAATGCAAAATGTATTTAAATTTTATCACTTTTACTAAAAGTTTTATTGGTGTAATGGTATAATTCTCCTCTTATAATTTCTCCCAAGAATATCACTAGACCATCCAAACTTGGTCTATACGTAGCAACTTTGATGTATAAATTTTTCTTATCTTTTATTTGTGATGGATTAATTTTAGAATGACGGTCTAAACACACAACAGTAGATGCAATTAGCAGTCGAAATTAACATTGAATACTTGACTTTGTAAGATAGAGACCGTGACTATGAGCAGTGTGCACCAAACTCCCGCGGTTTGCTCGCTTCCAAAAGCATCCGACATTAAACCAAAAACAAAACCGTTAAGTCATCCGTATCATGCATGAACCGGTCCTTTGATTACAGAAAATAAAAAGAGAGAGAGAGAGAGGAAAATAGGCGCGTGGGACCGACGCATGTCGGAGGGAAGTGAGACAACACGCCACCATCCGCCGATTAGGCAAAGAAGCATTCGTCTTTGTCTCGACTCCCTCCATTATTGGTTTTCCTTTTGGTTTTTGCCAAACATTTTCTTCTCTCGAGCCCCGTGCTTTCTGCTCCTTTTCTTTTACTTTGTCATAAATCTACTGAGCTACATGCTTTTCTTTTTTTTTCTTGTTTTTATTAGTTTGAGAATCACGTTACACCCTTCTTTTTTTTTACTACTTCCGTAAAACCCTTGTGATTTTCTTATTGGAGTAGTTTTTAGTTTCCTTTGCATAATGATATCTCCGTCACCTCTACTCTCGTGTTCAAGAGTTATTTAATTTCACCGGTTTGTTTTCAAACATCGAGAAACAAGACACAAATCACTGATTTAAAAAGAGGAAAAAACATACTACTACTATATTTAAAAAGACTCAAATCACTGATTTGTTTTATTCCCTCTTCATTTTTTGCATTTTTCCCCCAATTGTATTTTGTTTGCTAGCTTATATATAAAGACATTAAAAATTTGTTGGTGACATTAACTAGTGACAAGTTAGAAAGATGTATACGGTGCTGTATCATTTCAGTTTGGATTTTTTTTTTTGAAAAATGTCAAGTAAAACACAAGAAAGCATACTTAAAACACACAAAATGTGTTAGGGGCTTTTTAGGCTGTGTAAAAAAGAACCGTGGGTTCACAAAGATGAAACGGGCTTAACACTTAAAGACCTCAAAAGAAAAGTAATGATTCGACGGCCGCAAAGCGTGGGGAGGAGACGACGAACATTTTTAGTGAAAGGGTTCTTTCACGTGCATTACTCAAACCAATTGTTCTTCTTTTAAAGCTTTTATATTAAAAAATAAACATTAAAGCAACCTTTTCTTTGTTAGTTTACAATAAACGAGCATATAAATACTTGCATATATATACCTAATTACTCTCTCCGTTTTCTTTTATAAGATGTTTTAGAAAAAAAATTTGTTCATAATTAGATGATGCTTTCAAAAATTAATGCAAAAAGTAATTGTTTAAATTATTTAAATTTTATATATTATATTTTTATTGGTTGAATTGTTTTGAAAATGATGTTTTATTTTGGAAAAAGAGAAAATTAAATAATTTCTTAATATATGTGCAAAACCTATATTTTATACTCCTTCTGTTTTTCAATATATGACGTTCTATGATTTTTATTTATTTTAAAAAATTTAACATTTTAACTTTTAATTAATACATATTTAGTATTACCAGATGAATTAATGTTAATATTTGGTAAAGTAAGCTAAAAGGTCAAAAATAAGAGAAATAACAACCCAAAAAGTAATTAAAATTAAAAAAAAACCCATATTAAAAGCTTGTCTTAATCTGTGTAAAAATCTTAAAATGTCATGCATTTAAAAACAGAGAGAGTATAAAAAAAACGGAGGGAGCAACATCTATCCTTAAAGCCTCATTTTGGTTAACCAAGGGAATCCGGACCGAGATCCGACTAATCTCGAAATGAAAGAACCGGATTTTAACTGTGCCAGAGCTCAGTTCTGGCTGGTCCACTCGTGATTTTGTTTCAATTATAAATCAAACTCATGAAAATTTGGATTTATGCCATGTTCCAATAGTAGACATCTAGAGACTATCTGAGTGATTTTGGTGAAACTGAATTGTCTCATCAACGTATGATAATGATACATGATAGATGTCACAAGACAAACATATTAGAAAAATCTACCGTTTTCTATAATATGTATGTTTTTTTTTTCATGATAAATATATAGAGATTGATAATGTGTTTCATTCATTTGATGAACGATGACGAGATATAGCCAAAAGAAAAAATTTACACTAACATTCTCAAAATGGATATAGTTGGTATTGACGAGTTTATATAGAGAGATAAGTAGCAACTTCGTTTTTTCATCTTAACCACCGACCTATATTTAGCTTTAGTGGATGGAAGCAACCTAACCTAGCAACACATAATTTTTGTTGAGTTAAACGATTTACGTACCAGTGGAGTCGTAAATAATTACCATGATTTCGAGTTTAAAAAAAAATAACTAAATAGCTTAAAATATCTCGATTTGAATTTGGAAACTCCCGAATACCTTATTTTTCGGCGTGGATGTTAGATATTTTGCTCATGACTCTACGAGACTACGACTCTAACTAGTGCCTAGTGAATAGTGATCAGTAGTGGTAAAGTAAAAGTCTAAAACGATTGTGTGCTATGCCGAACAATGGACTTAAGAGGAGCTAACCGGTGCAACCGGTTCTGTAGGAAACAGAAGCCGGGAGTTCTTACGCGCAAGTGGAGCCACGCGCACGAGCGCTGGGTGGTGAACTGAAACTCATCTGATAAAGAATTATATTTTTAAATCAAACTCAGCTAAAATCCAAAAGCAAAGGAGAAGAAGGTATCATGTGCCATTTCTTTGAGTGATTATTATACAAAAAAAAACATTAATAAAGTATAATAACCAGAAATAATAAACAAAAAAAAATAGGAAAAAAAATAAATTTACTTTCCTCTATCTTTCTGCAGTTGTCCATGATATGATTATTAGAGAGAGACAGGAACAAGAAGAAACAATCTAGAAAAAGGAAACAAAATACAAACACATAAGTATTGATTGTTTTTAAGGGAGGTAAGAAGATCCAGAAGAAACCCCCCCCCCCCAAGAGTACAAGAAACATCATCATATAGAAACAAGAAAAATACAAAGACTTTTAGAGAGAGAAAGTAGAGTTGCAGTGTTAGATTTTTTAGAGAGAGGAACCGAGAGAATAGTTGCAGTGTTCTTTTTCCTCCTGTGAGCAGAGAGAGAGAGAAAAACCAAAAGAAATAAAGTCAAAAGTGACAGTAGATTGCAGGATCTTCTTCTTCTTCTTCTTTCCCCATCAGAGATTTTTTGTAAGATCTTCAGAAAAGAAAGAATCGTTTATAGATTTATGGGTTATGTACATTGGAGCCGTGTGGTGTGTTTGTTCACTTATTAGCGAAGAGTAATATAAATATTCTCTTTTGCATTTTTAATTTGTGGGATTAGGGTTTTGATTTAATCAGCTGTGGCAACGACGAGGAGGCATAATCTGCCGACGTCCGATTCCGGTGCCTTCACCGACTGGGCGGCGACGACGACGACATCTTCCCGCGCCACCGAGGATCTATCGCTTGGTTTCAATGCCGGTCCCGCCGTCGTCCACGGTGGTTTAGGCTCAGCTTCCGCCGCCGCCGCCGTTCCCTCATGGCCTCTCGGAACCTCCGTCCGTTACGGCCTCCCTTCGACGGCGGCGGCGACGGATATGGGCATGGTCAATCTAAGAGACGTCTATCTTGTTGCTCCGGCGTACCACCACCACCACCAGAACGCCGGAGTTGTATCTGGATCCGACCAGATTAACAGTAGTGCAGCCGCGCTCGGCGTCGGAGTGATTCCACTTCTCACGTCTGCACCACCGCCGCAGCAAAACGTGGAAGACACCGACATAAACTTCCTAGGAGACAGCCGGAGATGGCAGAACAGCAACAACAACAACCAGACGCAGTATCTTCACTTCAAGAGCACTCATCAAACGGCGGTTGGATCAAGCTCAAACAACTCCGGGTCTGGCTCAGCCGCGTCGGGAACCGCCACGTGTCAAGACTGTGGAAACCAAGCGAAGAAGGAGTGTAAGCAGAGACGGTGCAGGACATGCTGCAAGAGCCGTGGCTTTGATTGTTCGACTCACGTGAAGAGCACGTGGGTCTCTGCTGCTCGTAGGAGAGAGAGGCAGGTCCTGCCGACCGCGAATCCAACGGCTGGCTCGTCTCTTTCGACCTCCTCCGGGACCAAGAAACCGAGGATCGTTGGGTCTCAACAAGCCACTTCTCATACTTCAACTTCTAACACGCCTCCTCAAAGTTTTGATACCAGCTCTAGCCGCCAAGGTATTATTACGTTTCGTTAATTTGTATACACATATATCTACATACATGAATTCATGTTTGTATATATGCATATTACCACTTGTTGACGATGAATGTAATGGACAATCAGTCTAGGTTTTGGTTTCCGAATGATGGTAAGCAAATCAAACCATAAGTACTATAGTTTTATTTTGGGTTTAGTTTTGGTTTTTAGTATATATAATAATTCTGTTTAGTTTCAGACCAGATCGGTTTACCTGAAAGGCTAGTGTTTTAGAGTTGCATTAAATCAGTTATGTTTGTGAAAAGTGATTGTTTGGTGGTAATGATCACAATTATGCTGATTTGGTGATAATTATTCATAATTATGTTTAATATGCAAGACGGAGGAGGGTCAAGAGAAGCATGGCCGGGGCAGGTTAGGGCGGCGGCGGTGTTCAAGTGTGTGAGAGTGACGGCAGTAGAGGATGGGGACGACGAGTACGCATACCAGGCGGTGGTGAAAATCGGTGGCCATGTCTTCAAAGGCTTCTTGTATGATCAAGGGCTTGAACCTAAAGAAGGTTTTCCTAATATGTCGGATTTGCATTTAGGTGGTGGAGCCAATAACCACAACGGAGTGTCTGCATCGGGCCCGGTTCTCGACCCCCCAAATGTCTACGGTGGTTCAGGCGGTGGGTTTTACGGTTAACCAAACCCAAACAAGTTCATTATTTGTAAGAAAAGATGTAATCTTGTTTGATGTTTTTTTTCTTCTTCCAAATGGGGTTGGCTACAGACTAATGCTTCACTAACTCTATTGTATGATTGTCCATGTGGACTAAGTACTTTCTAATGCTGCAACAAATATTCTCGCCACATGTTTTTTTGTTTACTTAATTGGTGGATGATTGTTTTTTTTTACCCGCCATTTATATAATGTGGTTTTTTTTTTAAAAAAAAGAATTCATAGTATTATATTTTTTACGCAATTGAAAAATTTAGTAGTAAACATGTTATATATATATATATTTTTTTTTTCAACATTCTATGATTATTATGGATAAAATTTATTTAGCAAGTGTTTTTGCTGTTCCATTGATTATCTTACTTTATTGTAGTTTTTGTCTTTTTGAATCTAAAATTGGACTTTCTTCTATTTCGAAATTAAATGATGTATCCTTTATATGCATCAGTTCATGTGTTATTATCAGCCATCCAATTTTTAGGGCTTAAAAGCTGTTTTTTGCTATAAGCTGACTCACTGAGCCTATCTCTGCACTTTTTAGTGTTACTATTCTCGCTGACTTAGATTAAATTACGCAGGAGGCATCGTAATCTCGAGGCTTCCACCTAAGGTGTGCACTGCATACTGCTTAGGTGTTCGATCCATATTTATATTTTGATGAGTTTAAAATTTAAAACAGATATGGACTAATTAAGAGAGTTGATCCGGAGAAACAAAAGTTGTTCGAAAAATCAATCTTAGCGTTACTTTACAACATAGTTCTCTATTGGCAAACCAAAGATCTCCTACGTAAATTTTTTATTTACAGAAACTCATGCTTTCATACTATTTAAATAAAAAAAAATTCACTTCTGAACACCCATTGTGTCAAACCATAGATTTCGCCACTAAATTGCTAAGACCGGAACACATTTAATGTTGTTTGGACACAAAATGTATTTCCATAAGTATTACAGTATACACATGTAACTGTTTCAGAAAATAAGACTTCTAAAACTTGAATGTTAATGACCGTGAAACCAAGCTATTTAACCTGCTGCTTTGTTCCGTCACTGTATCATCATATGTATGTGTGTGTTTGTTTGGTAAAATACACTTCAGCATGAAAACACTTACTTGAGAACTTCACTGAAATATATTTATGAACTTGATTGTGAATTCGAATATTTCGAACCAGTATTAATTGAAAACTTTCATATTTTTACGAATTGCTTTATGTACGTAAGAATAAAGCCAAAATTAAATAAATATATTCCTTCAAAGTTCAAACACTCCCCCATATAAAAAAATTATTAATAAATTCGGCTGCGATGTAGGCTTTATAGGGTTTAGACTTTCGAACGTTATATTCGTCCCCCCCCTCGCAAGAATCTGATATCTAGCGCATATAATTTTATTAAAATATACTATGTCTTTTTGTTACATTTCTAATGACATTGATGAGCATGTTTGTTGAGGGTGGGAGAAGAATCTTCAAAGAACTAAACCACATATATATGGTTTCTCATAATGATATTTTAGAAGCCGTATTATGCCATCGTACAGAATCATTACACAGAACATAGTATAATCATAACACAAAACATAGGTTCTTAAACCACCAAAATTGCTAGCGTTCACCATAATTATGTTGAAACGACTGAAAGCAGGGATCAAAGCACCCGGTGAAAAAAAATTAGACCTCATTAAAAGTGTAGTACTTAAATAAGCAACATAATATTTTTTTCCCCCACCGCCCAAATTATATATGTGACAAGTGAGGAATTTTCTGACGATTAAAACCATTAAATAAAATCATATATCAATCTGACCAGAAAAAGGTTTTATACTTATATCACATAAAGAGACATACGGCGTCAGCGTCAGTCTGCGTCAGGAATGGGTCTATGCCGAAAGGTTTACAAAATGATTTTCTTGCCAACTGTGAAAACGTTTACAAACTATTTGATTAAAAAGTTGATGGCATGTGCAAATACGACGTGACCGTGAAGGACAAAAGAATGCAAGTAAATTAATCAAGAGGGTACTTACGGATTCATTCCCCTTGGGACTAAACCAAAATTAGTAATTAGTAGCATTTTTACTTTATTTTGATATTGCTAGTAATTAACTCAAGGAATGGTGCACTGCACTTATGTTAAAAGAAAACAAATGGGGGCACCGAAAGATTAGCACTTTACATACGCTTTCTAATGTTGATGGTTGGATAGAATGAGATTACTAATTAAGTAATTAGGATGAGGTACTTGAAAAGCAATATTAATACGCTGATTAAGAGATTGATAACCAACATTCACCTCACACTGGTCTATAAACACATTCATTTACATTCGCAATGTCCTTTGTTCTAGTCTAGTTTTCTACTTGAGAAAAGACACTAAACAAGTTTGCAAATGGTAACTCAACACTGATCGAATAAAACCAAGCAAATTAGCCCAAAACTAATTGAACAAGTTTGTGGTTGTGGGCATTGCAACCAAAGATGTTCCATTTATAACAACCACTAGTGTACATAACAAAGCAAAACTTTCCTCAATACAAAATGTTTTCACCTGTAAACTACAGAGAGAGAAACAAGCATTTAGGAAGATGATGGAGACGCCTTTAAAGTCAGGTCACACTGGTATTTGCAAGTTCCATTTGCGCAACAGTTGTGTTGATAGCATCGATAATCTCCATCTTCTCTGCACCAATGGCTTCATCCATCGGAGTCCGCTCGTACCTACAAATTTTCAAAAGCTTCTAATGGTTCAGCTTAGTTCCTCCTCCTATAGACTGACAAGAGAAAACTGAAAGAACTAACCGATTCAAAAGGCTTAGACTGGCTCCTGCCAAGATCAAGCTCTTCACCACCTGTAAGTAGATTTCTCAGTTAGTTAAACCAAGAAACAAAACATCTTCAAGCACAACCATGACTCTGTGATGGATAATTGTTACCTCGACACGGCCATTCAAACATGCCCAATGCAGAGGAGCATTGTTCTCCGCGTTAAGAGCGTTAATATCCTGATCACCAAAAGCAAAATCCTCAATCTTTCTTTTCAATTCATGTTTGATTGAATATAATTTCAAGAATTCACATCAATTTCTTACCACTCCTTCACTGATAAGATACTCCACTATAGTCATATGTCCATTCGCTGCCGCCATATGAAGCGCTGTGATGACATTCAACAAAAAATACGAAAGAAGCCAATGTTCCATGAATTAAATCTTACAGTCAACACTTCTTTCTTAAATCTTTCAGGGAGATATAAGATCACACAAATGTAAAGGCTGCCTTTTTTTTCTTCATCTTTTAAAAAACAGTGGCATTACATCAGAAGGAGCTAGTAATTCGAACTACTTGGAACAATTTTGTTTGAAATGGTAAAAAAACCTGTTCGGCCTTGTGAATCGCGGGAGTCGAGAGAGATACCATCAGAAGCCAAGCTTTTGAGATCATCAATGTCATCGTATCTAGCAGCCTGTCATTCAGAATCCCATCATCACACAATAACTCAGATGACGAAGATAAGCAAACCCAGAAACTGATATAAGTAACGCCTAACCCAAAAAAGTGGGACATGAATCGATTGGAGAAGAATCAGTAAAAAAAAAAGAGGGGATTTAGGAGTTTCGAAGACAGACCTCGAGCAAGTCCTCAACTTTCTCTGCGTCTACGACCGTATCTGCTCCCATCCTCCACCGGACAATAGTAATTTTCAATCTGAGGGTTTCAAGTTTCTTCTACGCCTTGTCTGGGCTCTCGGGTTATATTATTGTCCGAGATATATCTCATGTTTCGCTCTCCGATATGTTTTTGGGAATTATTAAAAAAAAAAAGGTCAAAATTAGCACCGCTAGGTTTTTTTTCTTTTCTGTTGTGTTAAGGGGGCGCATCTTAGCACCGCTTAATTTATGGTGCACAAGTCGTAAGGTCTTGTCTTGTGTCTCTCTTTATCTACATCTGCTCGGCCGTTTCCTCCGTAGGATCCCGATTCCTCTTCTCTTTGTTCTGTTAGGTGTCCGAATCATTCTCATAGCACTTTCCTCTTTCTCTCTCTCTCTCTGAACTCGACTGTTGTTCGTCAGATTGCTTGATTAGGGTTTTCCTCTGCTTGCGGAATACATTTGGGAGAAACAACTTTTGTTCTTATTACCCAATCTTTCGTTTTCAGATTCCCGGGATTCAATTATCGTTTTTTTTTCCCTCGCCGCCATGAGTTCCTCGATCCAGATCGTTGATGAGAAGCAAGTGGAAGTTTTGTCTCTTGCAGATCAGGTTAGTTTTATCTCCTGGAGATCAGGTTTTCCTTTCGTTTTGCCATGATTGATTAATTCGAATATGTGTTTCTGGTTTGCTTTGTGGTTGATTCCGTCAATCTTTAGGTATTGAATTTTAGGTACTTTTGGTGGTTTTTCGTTTCGGATTTGACATATGAATGCTCTGTGAAATTACCTGAGATTGAAGCTTTAATTTTTGTTCTGATATCTTGACCTCCTTGTTCGATTTGTGCCTAATTTGAGTTGGTTAGTTGAAAGTTTGGATCTTTGGTTGGATTTGCGGTTTCCACTCGTTCTGTTTTTACATCTGGATAATCTGATGTTTAGTCTCTGTCTTACGTTAATGAATTTCGTTTCGTGTACTTATCGCATTAAATTCTTCGTCTCCTTAGGATGAAAACAAAACTCTTTAGGATGATGTTGATGGATCTGTGTTCACGAGGTTGATTGAAAGTTGTGGGTTTCTGTGTTTTTGAAGGATGAAAAGAAGATGGAACAAGTGGGCAATGAGCTGAGTTTCGGGAACCATGGCGGCTGCTGTGCAATATGTTTGGATACAATACCTCTTCAAGAAACAGCTATGGTCAAAGGCTGTGAACATGCTTACTGGTATGTCTAATGGATTTTTTCGTTAATCCAGAGTATCTTAATTAAATTGGTTATTAGTGAGATCTAGTTTTGCGAATATGCAAGTTTTTTTCTGTGATATTCTTATCAAAGTCTAGTCATATACTAAGTGATTTACTGTTTGTTGTTTAAGCCATTGGTTTTGTAAGATCAACTTTATTCCCCTGCTCAGTTTTGTCAATGATGGACTTTGGTTCTAGCTCTGTAATACTTGTTATTACGTTTCACTAATACAAACCTGTGACATTCTCTGTTCGTTGCTAATAAGAATGATACATTTTTTTATCTGTATGTAGTGTGACGTGCATCCTCCGTTGGGCAAGTTACAAAGAGAAGCATACCTGTCCACAGTGTAAGCATCCATTTGATTCTCTCAATGTACACCGCGCGCTTGACGGAAGGTAAAATCTTGTATCCTCGTTTACATTTGTTAACTCCACTTGCTTGGACTGGCTCTTCTCTATGTCTTTATTTTTTGCTCGACTTTACATCTTTGTCTGTGTTTCTTCCTTTCTAACTAATTCCGTCTGTTATATTTCACTGCAGCATTGAAGATTTTATGTTTGAGGAGAGCGTATGCCTGCTCCTGAGAGCATCGTGGTTTCAGCCACTAGAAGCAGTGGAGCGGGTTTCATCCAATGACAATGACAATGACAACTTTGATTTCGACATTCCACCAGAGTACGAGGATGAAGACGAAGATGACCTTGACGAGTTTTATATGCACGGTTCAAGTCTTCGTCTAGGAAACAGGAGGTGGGGTGACAATGGTTTTGTCAGATCAGGCAGGCAAGAAGCAAGGCCGGCCCAACATAAGAACCGAGTTGGCCAAGCTTCTGGCTCTGAGTCCGGCTCTTCCTCCTCACGCGAGCCAAAGGAGAAGACGAGCAGTGCTGCAACAGGAAGGCGTGCGAAGAGGGCAATGAAGCGTGAAGCTGCAAACAAAGCTGCGGAAGTAGTAGCAGCTGCAAAGCACGAGGCTCTTTTGGTTAGGTTGGGGAGGAAGTGACTGTGGTTGGTATCTCTGTAATTAAATCAAGACACAACCCAAGAATCGGATCCACTGACTTCTCCATACTTGAGAATCTGTACAGCCAGTAGAATATAATAATGGTCGAACGAGAAAACTTGCTTATCTTTGTCGTCGAATTATATCCTTTGTTAGAGTTGAATGATTTTTAATCCTACAACTTTCTTGATATTTTGGTTCGATGAATGAGAGATACTGTTGGTTATGATGTGAAAAATTGATCATATGGAATCAAGATTAAGTGGTTAACGGAATGATGATCATGAAGAGTGGGTTTTGGTGGGGTCTGCAATTGACTTTAGGCAATTTTGAGTGGTGCAGGCTGCAATGTTACGCAATATATCATCAACCCTATATACGAATAAAAAGATTATTTATATATTGATTCACAGTAAAACTAGATATCTCAATCTCTTACCTAACCCATTAAGACCGTGGAATGATTAGTCCATGTCAACTTTGTTGACCAAAATGGATTCTTGTTCATCGCCGTTAGCAACTGAACCGGCTTGAACTTGTTTGATTTTAATTTGCTCTGAGGGGAATGTGTGGTTACTGACGTCACGATCTGTTTTATTCCTTCATCTCGGTCTTCATAATCATAATGTGCTTCTTATCTTCTCCAAATTTTATCTGTTTCGTGATTCTATTTCTCACCTACCTCATTACTCCTCCATTCAATGCTCCTGAATTTCCTCTAAGCAAAAGCTCATCTTGCTTCACCAACACTTCTTCTCTCCCTCTCTCTTCTCATGACTTTCCTTTGAGGTCATGCTACAGTTCAGCCTCATTTTAAACGTTAACTCATGTACGGCCTTTTCTTGGTTTTCTTGATGGTCTTGTGAAGAAAAGAAACAGCATTTCTTTGATCATCTCCATCTTTTTTCCTTCCTATGGAATCTCTGAAACAAGCTTCTTCGTCTAGGTTCTGCTACCATCAAGGCTTCTCAGGTGTTCTCCAAGTGTTTGTTCACAACGCAAGAAACATCCACAACATCTGCATCTACGATAACCAAGACGTCTACGCCAAATTCTCCCTCACATACAATCCCGACGACACAATCTCCACCAGAATCATCCACAGAGCTGGCAAAAACCCAGTATTCAACCAGAAACTCGTGATCGATGTCAACCAGATCGAAGCTGCGGTTCTCAAATGCGAGATCTGGATGATGAGCAGAGCCAGACATTACATGGAAGACCAGCTTCTTGGTTTCGCTCTTGTCCCAATCTCAGACGTCATAGGCCAAGACAGCGTCACGCAAGACTATAGCCTCTCTTCCACTGATCTCTTCCATTCACCTGCTGGTACCGTGAAGCTCACGCTTTCCATCGCTAACCCTTCTCTTGTTGCTACTTCTTCTTCTTCTTCATCATCCAATCCCAAGATTAACACTTCGATTTCTTCAGAGGTCGTGTTGCTTGACCCGCAAGTCTCTGAAACTGTGGATTACACGAGGATTGAGTTCCCTGATATCAGTGTTGTTAATGAGAACAAACAGATGGTTACAGAGTACTTCAATGGGTTGAATCTCAGATCCGGAACAGCTTCTTTTCTCTGCCTCGGCTCGACACATTTGCCAGAAACCGACGTAACAATGGTGTGCTTAGAGGACAAAGAGCTTTATGGGAATGGGAGTTTTATGGCTTCTTCTTCGACAACAACAAGCTTAAGCGACGACAAGAACACAGCAGATTCGAATGAGAAAGAGAATGGAGATATCTCAGAGGTATCAAGAGGAGGAAGCAAAGAAGTGGAAGAAGAAGACGAAGAAGAGAAGAAGATGAATGTGGAAACATCGATGCAGAAACAGATAGCAGAGATGTATATGAGAAGTATGCAACAGTTCACTGATTCTTTGGCAAAGATGAAGCTTCCCATGGATCACAACAACAACACTGAAACTCAGACTCAAAATCGGAATATTAATGGTAATAATAATAATGGAATGGAGAAGAAAAAAGAAGGGTCTCGTGTATTTTACGGAAGCAGAGCTTTCTTTTGATGAAATAGAAAAACTCATTGCAAATAAGTTTAAAACATTTTAGCTTCTTGGGTAATATCGATCTGTCTATGTTTGATTCACATAATTTTCCTAGAGCTAATTTTTAAAATTTAGTATTTTACTCCACAGGATTACAAAATTTATGTGATCTTGGGCATTGGATTATGTCAAATCTACAATTTAATTTTGCGGAGAAAAATGTTTTGTCTTCTATAAATTGTAGACCCCCGAGTTGAAACGACTATTTGTAAACCCAATAGTTAAATAGACGAATCTCCAATACCCAAAATTGGTAGCTCCTATTAACCCATTAACAGCCCAATCGATTTATGAAGTTCATTTTAGTATTTTTTGGGGAGCTCCTCTTAACCCATTAACAGCCCAATCGATTTATGAAGTTCATTTTAGTATTTCCCAAGTCTCCCTCTCTCTCTCTTGACAGAAAAACCAAAGGGCCACCACTACTCCACCGTCCCGAGGTGAAGTCAGAAAAATTGATAGCCGACTTTTCAATGGATTCTCTACCTCCGGCAAACGATTCCTCCCCGTCGATGACGCCGTCGAAGCTCGGCGACCTAGTTCCTTTCTATTCGAGTTACCTTTGGAATCGCCTTGCTTCCTTGGTCCCTACTTCTAATTCCATTTTTCTCGGGAAATTCTCCAATCTCTATCGCCAAACCTTCACCAAAAAACGACATATCTCCTTTCCTCTTCCTCTACCGTCCGACTTCCCATGCTCGTCTACGTAAGATTCATCTCCTCTATCTTTCGGTAGCTTTCTTACTCAGTGCCATTGAATTTCTTCTTTGATGATCGCGGCTCGGATTAAACTTCCAAATCCGTTCTGATACTGAAGTTTCGTTTTTATTGATTATTATACTTTGGGGAAAGACTATCCTCTAAATCTGAAAATATGCAGACTTGTTTTTGACTTTTGAGCATACTTTGTTGATTTCTCCAGCAACATCTCGGCGGATACGTCTAGGATTTATGTTGTTTTGGAGGAAATAATGGCCGACGTCCTCTCAAACTTGCATGATATCCAGAAAAGTTTAGACTTTTGGCAATATAGAGCTGAGGTGAATGAATCAACAGAACATTCCGTTAGATGAACCTTTTTTTTTTCTCTGGGTTATGTAGTGAATATGTCTTTCATCTAAAAATGGTTCTCTTGGCATTCTCTTTGTCGCATTGACTACAGGGCTCTAATGCTCGAAAAGCTTACTTCATGATTTTCGAGAGAGGACCAGTAGCTTTTGCGAATGAGAGTACGAAGCTCGTCCGCAAAAGTCTCAGTGACGATTCTGCGATGGAGCATCTTTGTCAGTCATCTTCATCTCACATGTCAGATAGGATGAGGGTCTTGATGGAGTTAAGATCTGCACTCGCTTCCTTTCTTGCTCAGGTTGCCATAAATTTTCATTCCTTTTTTTGTTATCATAATAAGTGCCATCATTAAGTTCTGTGTTTTGCACGTTCGACATACTAATCTCACTACTTTCATTGGGTTCTCTAGCTTTATGTGGAATTGGATAAACGTGGTAAAGATCTTTTGAACAATCCAGAAAAGTCACTGCCATCATTGTTGGCTGTTATCAATCAATTGTTTTCGAACTTGGAGGGCTCTTTCAGCCATTTACATGCTGAGCGTAAGGTAAACACACTATGTTTTTACTTTCCGATGACATCACCTTCATTTGTCTGTCTCTGTATCATTGGGATGTCTCTGATTCTTCTGTTTCTTGATATCTATTACTCGTATGTATTGACTTGCATCACATTTACAGTCTGATTCTTCTATTGATGGAAGTTACCCAATGCCTCTCGTGTTTGATCGGCTGCCTGAAGTTAACGAAGAAGGATCCCAGTGGACCGATTGTGAGCTTACAGATGCAATCAACCTGGTTCATAAGAATTTGGAAAAACTAAACTCATATTTAGCAGTTATGGTAGGTGTGGCTTTAGCTTATGTATTGATGGCCATTATTCATATTAACAGAAATCATCATGTGTGACAAGCATCTTTCATTTGGAATCAACTCTGAGATATTTCCTTCTTCCTTTTATTTCTTCATAGGTAGGCAAACATCGAAAGCCAAGGAGGATGACCCTGTACTGGGTCCGATATACATGTGGTGCAGTTGGGCTTTCTGTGTTTTCTATATGGCTACTACGTCATAGTAGTTTGATGGGCAGTTCTGACATCGAGAATTGGATTCATGATGCAAAAGAAGCAACAGTGAGCTTCTTCGGTGATCATGTTGAGCAACCGGTTTGTTTTTTTAGCCTTTCTCAGATTTTAACGAGAACAGTGACTCCTCTTCCTGGTCCAAATGACTTGTTGCATAAAATCCTTTTAAAGGATTAGAAATAAAGTAAAAGTGGTGGCCATTGCAACTCTCGGTTTGGTTCTTATCCAAAATGGATGTTTGGCGAGCAATGATCGAGTTATAGTCTGTGACTTGACATTTTCTTAACCTGGAATTTCTTAGTTAGTTTCCTGTTCTTGCAGCTGCTTGCCATTAGGGATGAGCTTTTTGATACTTTCCGAAAAAGGCACAAGGGTGTCATGGAAACTGAAGAAGTGCAGCTGACGCAAGACTCACTGCATAGGTCTATATTTATTTCCTTCTTGATGATTGTTTGTCCTGATTCTATATGTTTGCTATTGTATATGCGCGTGTATTATTCCCATTATAGCGATTCATTAGTTTTATTCACTGGAGTTTACTGATCTAGGGGGATTTAGATAACCACAGCAAAAATATCTGTAATCATTCATTTAGTGCTTCTTATTATTGGTTGCACTGCTAAATTTCTATTTGGTATGCAGAATGCTGAGGAACTTCTGTGAACAGACGACGCGTGAAAAGGTCCCAGATGATGCATCTGATCAGAAGATGCTTGAAGTCGTTATGCACCAGTACAACTCTGAACATTTTTCTTTATTAGGCAGCTAAAGACATTAAATTGCATTTACATTCTGCATTAGATTAGGCAAGGAATTAATTGGGGCTACAAATTCTGTAGTAGTTCTAATCTTAGCTAATGAACAATAACTACAGAAGTTTTCTCATGACTTTGAATGTATAATGATATCCTGTGATAGTTACCGTAAGTTAGAAGTTCCACCACATGAGATGGGTATACATCTGAACTTTGCCTTCTAATCGCAGGTATGAAAAGGAACTTGTGCGCCCTATTCAAAACCTCCTTAATGGAGAGCTTGCCCGTGGTTTGCTTATCCAGGTAATTTAAGTTCTTGGCATGAAGCTGTGGATTACTGTTTGTGAGGTTCTAATCACATCAATATTTTTTATTTTTTCAGGTCCAGAAGCTTAAACTGGATATAGAAACGTAATTTCAGTAAACCAGTAGCTATCAGTTAACTATAGTAGATATCTTAAAGCATTTTGTATATAACTGAATAATCTTCTCCTGCAGAGCGATGCTTGAACTGGATCAGATACTTCGTGCAAATGAAATAAACTTTGCCATTCTAGCTGCATTACCTGCGTTCTTTCTCAGCCTGCTAATGCTCACATTACTTCGGACATGGCTTAAACAGGTGAGGAGGTTGATAGTTCAAGCCAAATTAAATGTCACAGTGATACATATATATGTGTTTCAGTTTTTATATTTGAGGCTCAATGATGCAGTTGTTGTTTATCTTTATTCCGTTTGATTTCACTGGTGAATAGGATAGCAGAGCTCAAGGACGAGGAAGAATTGCACGTATTCACAGGAGACTACTTGTCGTTGAAATCGAAAAGAGAATTATGCAGTACCAGAGCTACATTGAACAAGGACGTGTAAGATGTCCACTATCTTCTTTTCTCTTTTCCTTCTTTTTTTAAGAATGGGTCTTTAAAGAAAGTTCCTGGCCTTTTCTTGACACTGTTACAGGATAAGGATGCAGAGACCGTGTTTGGTTTGCTAATATACAGCCTTGAACGTTTGTATCGGGTTGTTGAGAAGCCTGCAAAAGCAAGCGGCGAGTGGGATTTGTAAGTTTTTACTCTGATCCCATGACAATGTTTAGCTGATAAACAATTATTAAAACATAAAGTGGTAATATTTTAAGTAAGCAAAAGCTTTTTCTGAACGATGAACTTAGGATATCAGCTTGATCTAAAACTATTAAATTAAGCCAGTATGTGATAATTGCCTCACGATATTAAACGCTAACTCATGGTCGAACTGACTGATGTGTTACAGAGTGAAACAAGATCTGATGGAGTTAGGAAGGCCACAGCAGCAAACATCGTACAAGCTAACGGTGATACAACGACTAGTCAGGGTTTATGACTGCTTGCTTCCCACTCTGAATCGACAATAACTTTTCACGGCTTCTTTAATCTCCCTTTTATGGAATGCCATTTTTATTCAATTATTCTCCCCGTCAATGCTTTGCTTTCCTTTAGGAGTTTTTGGTACCAAACGAAATCCTTTTTTTTTCCCAACCTGAGATAAACAAAGGTACACACCTTCGAAGGAAGAAGGAAGATAGTTTTGAAATTCATGATATGAGTTTCTCCTTTATTGCAATTGAACATATTTAAAAGAGAAAACCTGTTTTTATGGTCTTTGTATGCTTCGGCATCAATGTTTCTCCAACCATTTTCAGTCTCATTCCATCTCTTGTGTCGATTTAATTCCCGGGATGATAAATTTTACGTCAAGGCTGGAACATTCTTCGTGCCGAAACAAAACCCACTAATATGTTATATATTCGCTATAATTGAAACAATATATAGTAGTATAGAATTTCGTGCTGTAACAAAACCCACTAAGTTTTCGCTATAGCTGGCTGGGTAACTGGGATATACAATGATCAGTATAAAGTGATAACGAATGCTCCTATTTACTGGACAACTATTAAAATACTGCATAATATCTATTCCTTAGACAATGAATATAGGACAACAATATAATAACAAGTGCTCTTCTCTTTAACTTTAGTTTTTTCTTTTTTTATATATATATTTTGTTGTCCAATAATGTGGCTGAGATCATAAAACATCGACATTACATTTTCATAAAATCGTCCAACATGACATTTTTCATGTATAAAAACAAAGGATATCATAACTGTTTTCATACATTAGCTATCTGAACTTAAAAAAGACGAAAAAAAAAGAAACCATGGACGTGAGGGATTTTGTGGTGAACAAACGGCATGGAGTAAAAGGGCTCGTCGACTCTCTAACACTAACCACACTTCCTTCTCCTTACATTCAACCTCCTCAAGAGCGCCTCACTTCCGACAAAATCCTTTCCTCGTCGTCACATATCCCGGTCATCGACGTGTCCAACTGGACGGACCCGCACGTGGCTAGAGAGATCTGCGATGCAGCGACCAAGCTCGGGTTGTTTCAGATAGTGAACCACGGGATAGCTCCGGCGGAGCTGAAGGCTTTGGTTGCGGCGGCCCGTGGGTTTTTCCAGTTGCCGGCGGAGGAGAGAGGAAGGTATTGGAGAGGGAGTTCGGTGTCGGAGACGGCGTGGCTGACCACTAGTTTCAATCCTGTCAAAGAGAGTGTTTTGGAGTGGAGAGACTTCCTCAAGTTTGAGTTTCTTCCTCAACGACATGGCTTCGCTGCCACGTGGCCTCCTGTCTGCAAGTAAGTACATATAATTAACCTGTAAACAACAATCCGGTTTACGGTTTGGTTTTTTAATTACTATTAGTTATGTCTTGTGATGATGATATAAAATTATAAGATGGTATCATCATTTTTGTACAGGAAACAAGTGATAGACCACTTCGAGAGGATCAAACCAATCGCCAATGAGATCTTAAACATACTCATAAACAATATAAACTCAACCATCGACGAGTCTAATAATCAAACCCTAATGGGAACAATGAGAATGAATTTCAACTACTATCCGGAATGTCCTGAGCCAAGCCTCGCCGTAGGAACTGGTCGCCACTCAGACATCAACACCCTCACTCTCCTCCTGCAAGAAGACGGTGTCTCAAGCAGCCTCTGCGCTCGAGCCACTGAGGGCGGGGACAAATGGATTCATGTCCCTCCGATTCCGGGAGCAATTGTCGTTAATATTGGAGACGTGTTACAGATATTGAGCAATGATAGGTATAGGAGCGTGGAGCACTGTGTGGCGGTCAATAAGTTTTGTAGCCGGGTTTCCATTCCGGTTTTCTGCGGACCGGTCCATGATTCGGTTATCAAGCCGTTACCAGAGGTGTTAGAGAACAATGAGATGGCTCGGTATAGAAAAGTTGTGTATTTGGACTACTTGAAGGGGTTTTTTGAAAAACCCCATGATGGAAAGAAGACTATTGAGTCGATCAAATTGTAAGGATATGGTTTAAAAAAGTTTTAAATCAGGACTAAACATCCATCTCTCTCTTTCTTTCTCTTTTGTTTTGTTTAATCTCCATTAATAATTATCATACGTAGTTCTTTGTCTGATCCTAGGATCCAGTCCTTATTTTAAAATGTTATTTTAACGCATTCCTTTGGCAGAAACAAGTTGTATATAAAATATTTGTTTTAAGATTTTGACATACGAGGAAAATATTGGTAGTGGTTAGTAATGGAGAAAATCAAAGGAAACGTTAAAAAGCTATTAAAAAAAAACAATAATGCATGAAAAAATCGCCGTTACCATTATGGGCGTGAAACATATTGAGAGCCTCGTGTGGTGGTAAATGGGTCATATGCATTTGTGCCATGGAAAAAGCTGAAGTGTCACATGCACCAGAACTTGGAAGCCCTTTTTGTTAACAACTAGTACAGACTAATTCCTTAAACATATTAAGAACTATATATTTTTATCATTTAAAACCTCCACCATAACCAAATAAAACACTAACAGTATATTATATTTCGATAGTTAATGAGATGCGAATCATAATCTAAGATCCCTATAGAAATCAATCAAATCATTCACCAACCTAATTTACATACCATTTGCTTATTATTTCTGCACTTTTATTCCTCAACATTGCTTTTAATGATCTAAAAATGTTAAGAGGATCGATATTGATGACGTCCTCTGGTGGTTCTTGCATTATTGATACACGTGACGTGATGTGTGAACACCAATAGCTATCAATCAGAGTAAATACTATTTTAGTGAGAGCTCGTCCTTGCATAATATTTTATATGTATCTGGTATCTCTCTCTTTCAATGAGATTTTATTTGGTTGTGATACAATTATTTACTACAATTTGGCGCTTTATTGGGTCAAAAGCAAACCCAAGCTTAGAGTTGCGTGCAGACTGTATTCGGCTTTGATGAAGTTGGGTTGGCTTGGTATGTACACACACGAGATACACAAAATATTAAAAAATTACTTGATCACTCCTATAATGAACATTATGCTAGAGTCATTTGACAATGCGTTTATAATGGTTTAAACTCCAACAATAGGTAACAACAAACAATATATTATTGGTACAGATCTAAAACGAGTACCATGCTTGTTGCTATTAGTCACTAAATCACAATCTGTTCCACATCACTTATCCCGTTTACAACTGCAACTGCATGAGCCTAACAGAACTCATCCCTCACACAGCTCCGTGTTCCACCAATAAATTATAGCGATCCTACCGCCAGAAAATGCCAATAGTACCCTTTTTAACTTAATGAGCTATGACAAATTACAGCCTTGCAAGAGAGATCATCATCAATGAGCCACAAGTTCAGTTCCGCGAGCTTTGTCCGAATGATGTTGGAACCAACCTCAGGTGACCAATACACCACCGGTTTGCCGTCTCCCAACGATTGGTTTACGCTGTTGGCATTGGTATTCTCTGCAATACTCATCGTCTCTACAGTCTTAATCCTCTTGCCCTTTCGCTCCACTAGCTCTTTCACTAGACGAATAAAATCTAGCCTTTGATTTGGGGAGTTATTTTTCGTTGTGGAGGATACGATGCTTTGCAGAATCTCGTTGCTCCACAGCTTTTGAGTGACCGATGAAGATTGAACAATCAAGATTCCAGAGCTTTCCCCGACATAAAAGTCATATTCCGAGCTGATTCTGCCCAGGAGTGGACCATTATCCACCAGAAGCGCATTACTTGCAAACACCCAGGTGCTGTATCCAAGTTCTAAGCATTTCTTAACAACGTAAGCATTGCCCACACCCTCCTTCACTGAGTCTGGGTACGAAGTTTTGCTTTTTATCAACTTGTCGAGAAACTTATCCGCATCGATCACAGGATATCCCCTTCTCGAAAGATCAAAGAGCAACTCAGAGCTAGGGCCTATAAAAATGTGATTTCGAGTATTAAGCTTGTCGAAATGGCAGAGTAAGTTCCTGATAAACATCTTCTCTGCAGCAAATAGACTGACGAGAATTACGGTTCTCTCTCTCTGAACAGATGGAAGAATGGTGCCAAGTTCATTCAGGTTTCTCACGACTCTACCGGGAACAACCTCGCTGAAACAGTAATCGTACCACTTAAGGTTGCTCAAGGGTTGCAGTTTCAGGAAATCAGAACCGATGGAACTTTTATTCAACAGCTGCGAATCTGCCCCAGCGGATTTTCGATAGTTAACACCAGCATCCCTGTGAGAGACACTCAAAGCCCCCTCATTTGGAAAACTGGTGTAGATGTTAAAGTAGCCACGGGAGTGGACAAACTTTATGAACCAAGGTGTCCATATTCGTTCTCCTAGCTTCTTGTACCATCCATTCGTCACCTGAGCAAACATCCCAGATAATAAAATGACATAAAAACTCTGGAATTTACAAATAGTGAAATACAATGAAGCAGAAAGCACAGCTTAGAAGTTTACCATGCCGTCTAGGAAAGGCTTCTTGCCATTCGATTTGTGCTCGTCATACCATAGTCTGAACTCTTTCCACGGCTTTGGGAAGAGAAGCTGTCCCCAAGTTCCCACCAACTGATATAAGAGAACATTCGTTTTCGGATCTACATGTAGTTTATTTCCATGTTTACCTGAAATTGACCACTAAATCAATCAGACGGAGATTTCTAGAAAACTGACAAACATAAGCATGAACACAACTGAAACCTACTTGTCACTGATCAACTTCGTCTTCTCTCTATTTGAACTATGTAAACGATATAACGGGCACAATGTATGACCACACTTGCAATTCATTCATCTGAGTATTATACTCAGATCCCAGCGAATCGAATTCTATCAAATGATATGTTGATAATATATCTCGATTTCGGGAGGAAGCCTAGTTTTGTTCATCTTTTCTCTACAGTCTGCAATGTTGAATTACAGAATAGAAAATGGTACCTGGAACGAACCTTGGTCTCTGAAGCGAAGCTCCGTAGATGGAAGGGCTGAAATTGGAAGTATCATCGTAGTATTTACGAATCAAGCTTTCGAGAACCCCGTAATAAAGCGGAGAAAGCTCGAGATCATCTTCGACGACGAACGCGAATTCGTGATCTGAGCTCGGCCACCAAGCCTCCAGCCACTGCCCCTGCAATCCGGCGTTGCCGGTCCGATAGTGAACCAGTTTTTCCCCAAATACCCACTCGAATCCATCCACGAAATCCAGGATTTGCTTGGCGCTCCTCAAGTTATCTTCCACAAGCTTGCCCTTCTGCGCGAGTGAGAAATGGTCGATATAGACGTGGAGGTGGATGCGTCCCCTGTCGCCTGCGACGCCGTAGTCCGCGGCGGCGAGGGATCGGAGACAGCGGGAAAGAGAGTGGAGACGATTGAAGGTTAGGACCTTGATGAGGAATGTGAAAGGAGGGACATCAGCGTAATCCCGCCGGAAAGTAGATCCTCGCTCGGCGACGGAGTGTGTGGTCTCGGAGACGAGAAGGAGGAGAATGATGACGGAAATACAAAAGAGAAAAAGAAGGAGAGGAAGTAGGTTTTTCTTGGGTTGGGGAAATACAATCGCCATGGATCACACTTAGGTTTCCTCTGGATCGACCGAGAAAGAGCTTAGCAGCATATGCGGGAAATAAACCAAGGAAAAAGGTGAAGTATCCCTTTAATTTTACTTGTCACTTAATTTAATAAAATGAAAATGCATTTTCAGATTTCTTTCAGATCTTCATCATGTGTTGGGAGGAAGTTGGAGCAAATCATTTGAAGATATATATATCAGGGAGACTGCAATTTACAAAGCTGTATTATGGTTGTTGACATGTTGCAGTATAAGAACATCTCAGTCCTATTCTATATTGGTGTTAAATTCCATAACTCGATTTAATTAAATCTATTAATTTTATCTTGTTTTCAGTTACAAAACTGTGTAATACTATTTTTTACTCCAGATATTGAATTATTTAATTTCCTATTAAATCTTTTTTTTTTAAACTAGATTTGAATGAAATTGGGTTTGTCTTCAACAAATGAAGAATTGATTCATACTTTCTTATATGAAATTTCTAACACGCCAGATCAAGTCATCAAGATAATAGTTTTTTAGTCATTTTATGTGGACAAATTCGAGTCAAGATAGAGTGAGCTGTTGGTTGGTCACATGGGTGGTTCATGACTGCATGTGCATTGTTCCCTTTTCTTAGCTCTGCAGGATCGGCTCAATACTTTTAATGACTTTTGGACAAAAAAAATATTTAGTGTTTTTTTATTGATAAAAACACAAATTTGAGCTTATTAAAATAAAACACACAAATTTGGATTTCATTATTATCCTAATTTTGTTTGATTTGGGAAGTAGACCTGAAACGGTTGCATCAATTATCCCCAGTAAACCGGCTCTGTCTGCATGACAAACCCATTCTTGTGTGTACAACTCTTCTTTCTGATATTTACAGTTATATCTAATTTATTACGTCTTGCACTTTGAACAAATCAGGTTTTAGGTTTGATTCCTTATATACAAGTAAGCATGATCGTTCTACTGAATTTTTATAATATGCGATATTTTTAAAACATTGAGTTTAGCGTCACGCAAGCAATGAGACAATGTTGACCAAAAACTTTAGTGATACATGAAATTTTTAGTATAGATGATCTACCAAAAAGAATATTTATATAGCTTTTTTTATTTGATTACGTCTAGTCTTAGTTTAGTTCTATGAGAGAACTTATAAATATGCTTTTATTTACGTTTATTCTTATCACATTATATGATATCTAGCAACACGTCGTTCATCATCCTTAATAGCATTATTCCCTTTCTCTCTTTTCCGATGTTGCTAATATTCCTCCTCTGTTATGTCCTTGTTAACCGTATAGTTTCGGTACACTGCACTGATGATGTTGATTGGGACAATGGTGATATTATGGACCACGCACTTGAGATGGAGGAGATACGAGTGTTACAAGTGTTGATCTACGTACGAACCCAACTGAACCAGAAATACTAAAAACTACTAAACCGGGAATCTAATGAGCGAACCAGACTTGGTTAATACTCTTTGACAGTAACAACACAATATATATTATTGTTGGTATTTCATCTAATACGAGTACAATTCCTTGCTGCTTCTGAGATGAAGACATAAAACATATATCTCGAAATAGAAGTTCATCTTTTGCAAGTTATACCAATGGTTTGTGACTTTGGGGAAATGGTTTCTCAGATATTTTACTTTTCGTTTGACAATAATTAATAATGTTGGAGAGAACCGACAATCACAATCCAATTATAAACAAGTAGCTCCCGCATCAAATGTATATCTCATTCTCACCAAACGCCCATCTACAACGTTGATATCTCACCATCCTACGGCTTACAGCTTCTCAGAGATTGAATTCACTACATCCGTTGGATCAAAATTACCTTTCCCACTTCTTACTCCTCCATAAATAAATCCACCATCTTCCTCACTCTCCTTGCATTCACTGACCCTCTCTTACTCCGATCCAACCACCGTCGTACTCGGCCGTCCTAAATCTCGTCGCGAATCTCTGTATCTTCTTATCCGTGAGTTGCTTTTCTGCTTACTCTTTAAGTCTCATATGCATTGCTTACTCTTTCGACACTGAGAGATCTAGGGAAATCGAACGGATAGACTACTTCTACTGACTGTGATACTTTGATTAGATCCAGATTGTGATACTTTGATTATACTTTGAGATATACTTTGAGAGATCTACTGACTGTGATACTTTGATCTCTTCAAAGTCTGACTGTGATACTTTGATTAGATCCTTGTGGCTCATCGTGAGATACTTCTACTGACTGTGATACACTGAGAGATCTAGGTTTGATTTGTTTGGATCTGATACATATTCTTTGATATCGGATCGCGAGATGTAGTTGCTGACATTAGATCTACTCGTCATTTGGATCTGATAGGGATTGTTTTACCTTCATATCGGTTGATTGGTTCTTGTTTGTGCACATGCTTTCAGTGAAATAGAGGATGAGAGAAATCCTTCACATTCAAGGTGGGCAATGTGGGAACCAGATAGGTTCAAAGTTCTGGGAAGTCGTCTGCAACGAGCACGGGATTGATCCCACTGGTCGTTACACTGGAAACTCTGATCTGCAGTTGGAGCGGGTTAATGTCTACTATAACGAGGCATCCTGCGGAAGATACGTTCCCCGTGCCATTCTCATGGATCTCGAGCCCGGTACTATGGACAGTGTCAGAACTGGACCTTATGGTCAAATCTTCAGACCCGATAACTTTGTTTTCGGGCAATCTGGTGCTGGAAACAACTGGGCTAAAGGTCACTATACCGAAGGAGCCGAGCTTATTGATGCCGTGCTTGATGTTGTGCGCAAGGAGGCCGAAAACTGCGACTGTCTTCAGGGTATGCAAACTCTTGGTTTCTGTTTTCAGACTAGAGAAAAGTTGATTGAAGGTCTTCAAATTGTGGTGTTGAACATTCTTTGTAATTGTGAATTTGTTTCAGGTTTCCAAGTATGCCACTCGCTTGGTGGAGGCACCGGGTCTGGAATGGGAACTCTTCTGATATCTAAGATCAGGGAAGAGTATCCTGATCGGATGATGCTTACTTTCTCTGTCTTTCCATCACCAAAGGTCTCAGACACAGTGGTCGAGCCATACAATGCGACACTTTCCGTTCATCAGCTGGTTGAAAATGCTGATGAGTGTATGGTTCTGGACAACGAAGCCCTTTACGATATCTGTTTTAGAACACTTAAGCTTACCACTCCTAGCTGTAAGTCCCTTCCATGTCCTTTCTCCTTTCTGCAGTTAATTCGTGAAAACTAAATCACTGATCTCGAAAGCAATGAATGTTGTTGTTTGGTAACAGTAATACCAATGCGTCCTTGATCCAGTCCTCAGTTATGATTCTTATTGTCTTTAACTGTTTGGTGATGTATTGTGATGGTTTTTACTGCTACAGTTGGTGATCTGAATCATCTGATCTCTGCAACCATGAGTGGAGTTACATGCTGTCTTAGGTTCCCGGGTCAGCTCAACTCCGATCTGAGGAAGCTCGCAGTGAACCTCATCCCTTTCCCTCGTCTCCACTTTTTCATGGTCGGTTTCGCCCCTCTCACCTCCCGTGGTTCCCAGCAGTACCGCGCACTCACCGTCCCTGAGCTCACCCAACAGATGTGGGATTCAAAGAACATGATGTGCGCAGCAGACCCGCGTCACGGCCGGTACCTAACAGCCTCTGCAATGTTCCGTGGGAAAATGAGCACTAAGGAAGTGGACGAGCAGATGATAAACGTGCAGAACAAAAACTCTTCCTACTTTGTGGAGTGGATACCGAACAACGTGAAGTCAAGCGTCTGTGACATAGCGCCTCGAGGTCTGTCGATGGCGTCGACATTTGTCGGGAACTCGACATCGATCCAGGAGATGTTCAGGCGGGTGAGTGAGCAGTTCACTGCCATGTTCAGGAGGAAAGCTTTCTTGCATTGGTACACCGGCGAAGGAATGGACGAGATGGAGTTTACTGAAGCGGAGAGCAACATGAACGATCTCGTCTCTGAGTACCAGCAATACCAAGACGCAACTGCAGATGAAGAAGGCGAGTATGAAGAAGACGAAGAGGAAGAAGGGGAGTTCTTGGATCATGAGTGAAAATTTCTGATATCTTTACCCATTTTTAAATCACCATCTCTTGTTGTGTTTCCGTTGCACTTATATGTTTGATTGAGTTTCGTATGTCTTGTTTGTGGTTGTCTCTGTGTATAAGTGAGGCCAGAGAGCTGATTACTTTTCCCTTTATGTGTTATATAAATGGAGTCCATTGTGTTTTTTTTTTAATGCTACTTCAAGTAATTCGTTCCTGGTTTTATTCTTTTTAACACAAACTAAAAGTAGGATTCAGCATAGAAAGTGCAAGTATGTGAACAGCTCTCAAAGAAGAAAAAAGATTATTTGTTTTGTTTCTTCACGATCACATTCTTTACACACTCCATAACTGTTGAAACCAAATTAACTTTGATGTTTGTAATAGTAATGACTAGCTCCTTGCATAATTTCCAGCTTGTGGTTCGGTTATGATATTTGCTCGTCAATTATTTAATTGCTGTAGTCTAATTAAAAGCAGATTTAAAATTAAAAAGGTAGGTCTTGCAAATTTTTAAAAATTTTACTAACGCATTAAGAGCAGAGAGCATTAAGGGTAGTTTAGAACATTCAGATTTAAGAGAGACAAAGAGAAAGAATCGGGGGAGAAGAAATCGAAGAAAAAGAAGCCATGGACGAGCAAGAGTTTCGTAGCCTCCTCAATCTCTTCCCCGTCGTACGCTCTCGCGACCACCGTGTAAAATTTCTTATTCTCTCTTCCCTATTTCTCCGGACAAACTCCTTTGTTGCTGCTGCTACTGTCAATTTACTTGGCTAGACCTTGGTTCTTCGGAAAACCCTAATTTCGTACTAGTGTATGCGTCGTAAGGGCTTTTACTAGCAACTTAGTCTTCATTTTTGCCTCTTAGATCTTATTTTCATCTTTCGTCCTGAAAATTTCCCTCTTTGATAAATTGATCACTGATGCGACTACACCCGATTTAGAAGTAGACATTCTTTAAAGCTATTGATATTACAAGTGTGGCGCTATAAATAGCCTAAAGTCTGAATTTTCGTTTGATCCAGATGTGACTCATTACTCGGTGTGTGTACTGTTATATGCCACGGTTTAAGGTATTTGAGTTTTTTTTTTTTTTTCGTTGGTTTCAGGCTGATTTGGTAGATTCTTCAAGCTCAAAGCAATCAACTTCACAGTCAATTGTTGAGCGAGAGGTACATTCTGTGGTCTTAAGGCTCTTTTTTTCAATATTTGCTTATGATATTATACTGATGGAACTTGGAATCACTGAAAGCAGGTAAGTGAATGGCACGACGCACCCAGTGTTGTTGAGCCGAAAGACTTGAACGATCAAGGTATGTCATCTGTGTTTTCCTCATCTAACTTTTGATATGGGTTTCACGTGATCTGACCAATGGAATGAAGTATCACATTTAGCCAAAACAAAAAAATCTAAACCTAGTCATACATGCATTTTCTTAACCACATTGCCCGCATCTCTATGCTACTGTTATACACTTCAATAATTTAGCTCTTACTCTGCAGAAGAAGCATATACTATACCTGTGCATCGTCTTTTTGCTGCATAGTTTTGCACCCTTTATCCTGATTTGTGGACTTCTTTTGACAGATACATTTTGGGACAAGCTGAAAACGGCTGCTGCGAAGAAGGTAATTGTCAGCGACATTGTTCAAACGTTTCTAGTTGTTGGATGAGATTTGGAGTTATGGCTCGTAATTTTGGCAAACAAAGTTTTCCCATAGTTATTGCATCTGATGCGGTATTGTGATTAAGCGAATTTCCTGGGAAAGGAGATCGATATGTATGTCTTGTTCGTTCTTGACTTGTGAGCTTAGATACTTTCACTGAAAGAAATGATTCTTGTTTCATCTCTGATTCTACTACATATATTAAGAATCGGTTTTTCTAATCGTGATGTTAACTTGCTTATAAAAGCCTAATGAACAACTCATTGTTGCAGGTTGGTGAGGTTGAAGCAGAGAGGTTTTGCAAGGCTTTCGAGAAACTCCACAAGAAACTTGTATGTGTCACACTCACACATTATCTTCTGAAGACTTTTATTTATTTGCAAATCGGTTCTGATGCGTTTTGGTTTCAGGTGTATGAAGAGTTGGATCCAGAAGCTGCAGAGCGATACTTATTAAACTCTTGAACTCATGTCTTCATTACAATATGCTTCCAAAGGTTTCATTATGAGGAGATACTTGGACTCCCTTTTTACTTTTTCTTTGTCGTAATTATGTATGAGTGGTCTAAATTCTCTTCTCGTGTTCATCTAATTATGATTCTCATCTTATATGGTAGAAAAAGTTATGTTTCGGACATGATTTCATTTCTTATTTGGAAACAGCAAGCCTTTCCCAATTCCCTGATATTTAATCGGGATTAATTTTAAATGTGTCTAAATGTTAAATTCTCGTTTTTGATTATTGATTTTGACTAGAAAACCTCTTTCTTGCCCCTACATATCTCGAATTTCATTGAGAATGTAATAAGATTTGGTTTTTCATCTTTAGTACGAGTCGTATCTTATTCCGACAAATCTCGTTCTGTTTCTTACATATTGACCGCGCCTAGTAAAAATAAGTCGTAAAAAAATTGCCGTGTGTATGATTCGCGGTTAAGAAACTTATACTGTAAAGTACCAAACTGTTTCATGTGAAATCTAATTATTGTCGTTTCTGTTGCAGATGTTCACAATTTTGTATGTTTGTCGCTTTTTTTTATCTTACACCTGAGGTTAGTTAGTGTACTTAAGGTATTTATACAGCTTTTCTGTAACAGTGATCAATTTTGCTAACCAATTATAGTTAATAATTCAAGCATGAAATAGACTGTTGTAATCTACTATCTTTCACATCATCCAACTCTGTAAGAGAATAGCTTTATCATAATTTCAATTGAACAATGATGTTCATTCTTTCTTTCTTTCTTTTTTTTTCTTTGGCATCAACAATGATGTTCATTTTATCATCATCAAAATATTCGTACCACACGAAATTTCCACCAAAAGAAAAGATAATCATGCGTATTATTAATAAACTAAGAGAATACTCATCTTAATTAAAAGATTATATGATAGAGAATGAAAACCAAGATATCTTCAAAGACTCGTTGTTCAACACTCTTAAAATCTCATTCCTCCAAATAGAACATAAGTTACAAATCACGGCATATCACTTACGATAATAATGTATATCAGTGTAGGAAAAAGTAAACAAATATGGGCTTTTTGTTTGCACAAGCATGTTTTATTCGGACAAAAATTCACAAAAAAAGAGTAAAAGCCAAAAATTATCTATTGTGCAAAGGATTAGGACCTGTGAAGACCCTTCTCTTGCCATCTTCAAAAACATTTTCACCACCTTCATAAGTATATCTTGATCCTCTTGACGCAGCATTGGAATTAAGATCATGAAACTTTGGATCCAAAATTCCAGCTGGTTTCTTCAGGCTTCCATGATCAGTTGATTGGTGATGAATATCAGAAGAAGAAGACGAAGCTTTAGCGTAAAGAAACAGAAACAAAAGAAGAAGAAGGATGATAAAGGCAACAGTAGTGATGTATTTCCGAGATTTTCTTCTAGAGTAGTAATTTCCCATTTTCTCTCTGGAGATGGCGGCTTTTAGAATCGAATTTCAGAAGACACAAGAGGGAATAATGAGAAGAAGATCTGATCGAGATCTCTTAAATTCTCTCTGAAAAAGTCTCTCAGAATGAGAAGAGAGGAATGAAAGTGATGGAAGAAAAAGCTATGGGGCTTTTAACCTATGACTTGCTCCAAAAAGTTTGTTTCTCTCCATTTCTCTTTTCTTCATCGCTTTCTAAAAATAATAAAAGAGAAGAAAATAAAGGGTTTAGTATTTTCTTAACTAAGCTTTGGTTGATGAATCATGTCCAAAGGTATTAGCTGGCTTAATCTTTTACTTTGAGTGGTTAATTTAGAGAGAGTAGTGAGGGTGCATGTAGAAAAAGCATGTAGATAGGTAGTAATTAAGTGAAGGGTCAAAGTAGAAAGAAATAGAAAAGGGGAGAAGAAGGGGCCAAAAAGGGGAATTGGAGTGATGATTCTAAGACTTAGCTTTCTTTGGGGAGAATGATGTTGTCTTCACTCCCTTTTTTCCTTTGTGTTATTCCTCACCCACATTTACACTCACACACATGAAAAAAAAAAAAACTAGATCCCACTCGAATGTCCCCTCTTATTTATATATGTATATGTATATGTTTACTTTATCATATTTAATTTTGTTATTGTAAACTATCAAATTTTGTTTTTATTATGATTTATGAATGGAATGAAACTATATATAAATACATTACGTGGATATGATTCATCAAATATTTGTCAAGAAATACCGAATGTATCTCGAGTGTATCCCACTGTAGAACGTGATTAACTCGATTCCTCTCATCATGTTTCTGATTTCTCTAATTTGTGTACACATATCCAACGTAACTCACATATTTAACATCAGACAAAATCATCATTTACATTGTATTAAAGCAGGCCTAAAGACTCAAAACCATAAAAATTACTATATTTCCTTTGTCTTTCGATCGCCAAAACACTTTGACAAAATGACGTTGTCTTGTTCTTCATGCCAACCATATGGTTGATGCCTCTGATGGTATATACAACGTACTAATCGTATACTCGTAATCGTATCGCATGTGATTATGTTCAACTAAAGTGATGGAACATACATACTTGAAGAGAATATATGGTGGGAGGTATGATAGTTACATATTTTTGTTGTACCAATAGTTACATCTTCATCACTAATAAAATCACTTATAACTAGAAGAGAACTTATATATGTCAATTCTCAAAAACAAAAAAATTACTCCCTCTGTTTTTTTTTTTTTTTAATTATCGTTTTACACTTATTTTTTTATTTTAAAATAATTATCATTTTCAGTTTTCATTGCAGATTTATGATAGGTTTTCCAGTTTTATCCTTGTTTTCAGCTTATTAATTACTTTTATCAAACAAAATAATGTATTAATTAAGAGTAAAATAGAAAAGTTAATTATTTTCTTAATCTGTGTAAAATTATCTAAAACGACAATTAAAATGAAATGTTGTCTCTTTCAAAACAAAATTAAAAGATGCTATTAGTTAAACTCTAAGATAAAAAAAAAAGATGTTTAATTTATATAGCAGAAATGAGTGATGCGGAGTGCCTCACCATAAATATGATTGGAAATGATGAATTTTTCTTCTTCTTCTTCTTCTTCTTGTTGCTGTTCATGGGTGTTTAATGTTAACTGCTTAAGTAGAAATAAACCTATTCAAAAGGTCAAAGTTTGACCTTGATAAAATGTTAACTTCGATATTAGTTTACTTGTGTAATTGGGCCGTACACAGGGCGCGTGAAGCCCACGCGGAATCCATAAAAATAAAAATACGTAAGAAGGGACGAGGATTCTGTTTTCCCCCATTGGTTAAGAAACCGAAGAAACTCTGAAACCCTAAGAAGTAGTCCCTTTTTCGCTCTCTCCCTCTCTCGAACCTTCCTCGATCTCTGTCCCCTTCTCCATCAACCATCACTGCCAATCAAATTTGCGCGGGAAATCGGATTCCCAACCTCCAAAGAACAATCAATTCTCTCCTTCCCTTGCTTTGGACTTGTAATTTCTTTGTGCGCGCTAGAGGGCTGGATAGAGGCCGTAAGCTAGATTTCTCAACGAGATCTGGATTGTGAATAACGTGTATGACCCTTGTTTCTTCTCTGCTTCGATTCTTTCTCGTACCAATTGAATTTGGGATTTTGCTTTGGCTTGTTTTGTTTTCAAATTCCAATCCTCGATTTTTCTTCGTCTTTCTGAAATTCTTGTTAAGCTTTTTTTTTTTGTTTTATCGACTCTAAATGTCTCATTTTTGTAGTGATTACTTCGCTGTCTCTGATTATTATTGATATAGCACAAACGAAGAAACATTCTTGTTGACTAGATCCCAAATTGACTTAGTGTATGATTCTACTAATACAAGTTTTCGACAATCTTTTGCCATTTCTAGTAATTCATTTCAACATTTCGAGCTTCAGGAGAAAAATTGAGTTTATGCTAATTCAGATATCTTTTAGTTGTTAGTTTTGTTGACTATGCAAATCTGAGCTGTTGATTAGTTATAGTTACTGTGGTTTGTTGTATTGCTCTTAGTATCGAATCTGTATTTGCAAATGCTTTCCGTGTTCTTTCCTTGGCACTCAATACTTCTTCATTTTTTTTCCTCTTGTAGGAAAATTGTATCATGCAAAAGCAACTCAGAGTGCGATAAAGAAGATGGAACCTGAACGTGCAAAATTTGGAGGTAAATTTGGTTTCAAATTTGGAGCTTCTTCCAAATTATGTGGCTCGTTGAGGTCAAAATCATTTGCTGGTTATTTATAAGTGCAGGTCCCAGAGAGCTGTGTGGTGCCGTGGATCTTATATCTCAATACAAACTAGTGCAACACCATGAATTCTTTTGCAAAAAATCACTTCCCGCGTCTCTATCAGATGCGCATTATCTTCATAACGTGGTTGGGGACACAGAGATCAGAAAAGGTGAAGGCATGCAATTAGATCAGCTTATTCAGGACACGTCACAGATCCGGGAGACGAGTACCCGCATCCAACCTTTTGATATGGATGAGCTTAAGGAGGCTTTCCAACTACATGATATGACCCCTGTTGAATTGCCTCTTGTTAGAATCTGCTCTCTCTTGGTGGAATTGAGCTTTAACTTGAAGATACGACGTTTTTTTCTTTACCAGTATCAATATTGATACACTGTTTTTGTTTTTTTTCTTCTTTCAGGCAGAAAAGGGAGCTCCTACGATTGCTTCAAAGTCAAAAAGTGAGTCGAAAGATAAAGACAGGAAGCATAGAAAACACAGGGACAGGGATAAGGACAAAGATAGAGAGCATAAGAAGCACAAACACAAGCATAAAGATAGAAGCAAAGATAAAGACAAGGACCGAGACAGAAAGAAGGACAAAAATGGCCACCACGATTCAGGCGATCACTCTAAGAGACATCATGATAAGGTAAGACATGCCTGTTTGTTGCAGATGTCTGACTTGCCAATGAAAACAATTTTATGGAAGTTTTTGTATTTGTTTCTTTAGAGTTTGACTGCTTTCTTGTATATCTACTTGGCATAAAAAAATTAGCAGATCTAGGCTGCTCTATAATAGTTTCATTGTACTGTATATTGTTTGGTTTTTCATTCCCATGGAAATCACAAGGAGCATTGTCACTAATATTTCAGAAAAGGAAACACGATGGAGATGAAGATCTTAATGACGCTCAAAGGCACAAGAAAAACAAGGTAATGGATCAAAATTGACTTGCAATAAACTTGAAATTTCCACCGTAATTTGAAAGCACAAAGGTTGTATAGAACTGGTAATATGTCTGGAGTTAATTGTAATGATTTGGCTCTTGATTTAACTCGATGCAGCATAAGAGTTCAAAGCTTGATGAGATGGGTGCAATAAGGGTTGCTGGCTAGAGTGGTAGACATTCCCAGTTTTGTATTCTGCACTCCAGTAGGTGTCATGGAGGAGGTTTAGAAACACTTTTCAACACACTGTAGACAACTTATTAGGTAAGCATCTGTGTATCGTCCTGTCTCTTATATTCAATTTTGTGTGGCGTTCTTGGTCATCCATCGTTTCATTTTAGTCCAACTCACTTTGGTACTCTTGGATCCTTCATTGAACATACATCTGTCATAATCCTTTTCTTTTTAAATATATGGTTTGTCATACCCAAGTTTCGTCTGTGTTACTGAAATCCAAATTCAGCATTTGCAAGCAATCTATAGTGGTATTGGATTCTTCTCTGGTTCTTAAGAAAGTTGCACTTGACACGCATCAGATTTGCTTACATTTTCGTTGCGCCTCTTATATTTCATGTTGTATTGGTTTTGAACAAAGAGAATTTGCTTCTTCTGGGATTTATTTGGCTCTGTAGGTTTAAAAGCCCGAAATGGTGAATTCATTCCTTGAAGAAGAAAAGGGAAATTTGTGAAGAAAGAAGCAGAATTCGTATCATAATTGATTTGGTGGCAGCTTTGTAACATTTTGGTCTTTGGGATGTTTTGTTTCATCTCTCTTGTCTATAAAATACCAACGCTACTCACAGTGTTTGTTTCTATTCTTGTATTATAATTTGTTATTCAATCAATGTTTTTGAGAACCGGTTATTTCACTTACTACTTTACTCTGTGTCCCAATATCTAATCTTATATGTCACTAGTTGTAAAAGTTATCAATTATATCAGAAAGAATGTTGCACTAAAATATAATCCGGATGATCAGTTCATGTTCGTGAACATTTCCAAAAATTTCAAACGCAAAGTTTCACAGTAGAAGCCATCCCCAATAGCTCTCCATCTTCGACTCTTTTCCATTCACCACCTATCATAAGGCAGCCTCTGCTTCCCTCTTCATCCTTCAACATCAGATTCCCTTCTGTTTCACTTTCAGATTCCTCATCCGCATGTTCTGTGTCCATCTCAGCATCTTCCTCATGTGTTTCCAATGTCACATCATCTGATTCAGGATCTTCTGGACTCTTCCTTGCTTTCTTACATGTCGAGTTCTCCAACTGCTGCGTAACGCAATCGGCTCCTCTTTTAACATTGTCGTTGCCTTGTGCTTGTTTTGAGATGCTATGAATACTCTGAGAGTCCAGAAGAGGTAAACGTCCAGAAGAACCAATGATCCGAGGCAACATACCAATTGGACAAGGGCTCCACGATTTTGCCTTTCTCCATCTGTTACTGGTTTTGTCTGTGTCATTTCCTTTCTTCTTTGAGAGTTGCAGTTTCACAAACTCGAGTCTCTTGCCCGCACTATCGAGATTCTTCTCTTGCTCAAGGAGCGTCGTAGGAGTTGTTACAGGAGTAGAACTCTTTTTCAACGGAATACTTGCAGAGCTTTTATCCACGAGAGGGAGTTTTGTAACCTTCTCTTTTAACACACGCCCTCCCACAACCTCCGCGAGTACAAAACCAGATTTCAAAACCAGCTCGTATCCCAAGGTTCCCAGTAGCAGACATTTACGTATAAGTTCCATAAGGAACATGCTTGAAGATTTGACTTCTAGAGAACTGTTCCTCTGAAAGTGCTTCGACCCACTGAGAAGACCCACAAGCCATGCAAACAAGAAAGGGACCTGCTCAGCTTGAGAAACCTCCTCCGCTGACTTTTCTGTAAGATGCACATCTGAAAAAAGCAATAAGCAATTCATACACGTTAAAAACGCTCTGGAGGAACAGTATGGAGTTTAAGTTGAGATTCCTCCGAGTACAATCATTTAGGGCAAACCAATAGTATACCTGATTCATATCTTCTCCGTTCATTATTTTGGATGATATCAAGAACTGCCTTGAGTAGAGTCAAAAGTAACTCAGGCTCTCTATTCGAGAACTCCAAGATAACAGGTTTCCATTCGTCTAGAAACACCCTGATATCTTGGCCAGGCTGATTCTGAAGCTCTGCCGACTTTGAAGAATCCAAGGCCTTGAGTAAGAATTCAAGCAGCACAGATGAGATTTCCGCGGAGAAAGAAGCGTACAACTCAACAAGGCTGCTCACAATCTTCCTTATCCTTTTATTAGAACCTGAAATCACAAAAACACCCACCACATATGACCATACAGAATTACAAAAATGCAATGTGAAACACAGGGACGCAATCCTAAAAATCGAAGTATCCTCTAAATTATGTCATTATCTTGTAAACTTCATAGAGGTATAAGAAGGGAGACACAAGGTCCAAGAAATAAAAGATGAGTGAGTTGTCTTACATTTGTCTTTGACTAAAGGGGAGTCAAACTGAGGATTCTTCTTAAGCTGGAAGCAGAAGGCAAGTTTCCGGAGTTTGGATTTGACTTCTCTTCTAATGCTTGCCGTTCCATCTCTCTTCAAGGGAATTTGGTACTTTTGAGGCTCCCAATAATAAGATTTCAACCATTCAAGTGCCTACATTAACCAACGAGTGTATGCAAGCAAATTAAAAGCTTTTTTTCTGATTTACATGAAAGCAGGACCTTCATGTCATGTGAGACTATGCTACTTGAAATAAGGAAATCTAGAAGGGAAAGACATAATTAATGAAGGAAAAAAGTGCACCTCATCTGAAGCATCTCGAAGCACCGAGAGTGCAGGGAGCTCACGGTGAGAACCCTCTACAATCAAAATCAGAACAATCAAATCAATCATAAGCATAAAGCAGGAGCATTCATAAGTTACCGCGCAGAATCAGGAAAAAAGCATCCCTCACCATGACGAAGATCGATTAATTTACGCGGGATGCCAATTGCTTTAGCTGCATCCGCAATTGAAATCTCTGTTCTCCTCCTTGTCTTTTCTATGACACAGTTCACAAGCCTTCATATACACAGAGACGTGAGTCAACAAGATGCAGAGAAGTGAAGCCATAAAGGTTCCAAAGCAACCAAAACGTATCACAGTCACCTGAGTATTCCCATACAGTATAGCATTTGCAGTAAATGCTCTGAATATAATGCATCTGCTGGTTGTCTCTCTCTCCTTTTTTTTAATCACAAGAAGAAGAAAATGAGAAGACTGAATCAATACATGACAAGAGATATGAGAAATCAGCAAAAGATGAAAGAGAGACTAACGGAATAAAGCCATCTTTGAGTTGGATTTCAATAAGGGAACAAGTAACATCCACAGGCGCTGGAAGAGATCCTCTACTTCGCCATGTTGCAACCTGAAAAACCCACAAAAGTGATTTGATTTCTAAAGGAATCTGAATATCCATTGAGCTCTTGATTCAAGCGGTTTTAAACAGCTCTGATGATTCCTCGAACAGTAAGTTAAAACTGAATTGAAGAAGAAAAGAGCATAAATTACCCTTTGCAAGGCAGAAGCAGCTCTATCGGGAGAAGAAGAGAAGAGAGACTCTCTGACGGAGTCCCACTCTTCCCAACTCAGCCACGGGACCTGTTTGCAGCCGTCCGATGACGGTCTCTGTTGATCCTGGTCGTTGAAATACGATTCGATGTCTGCTTCAATTCCCGCTAGCGCCTCCATTGATGAAGAAGAAGAGTCGTCGTCTCGAAACAAAACTCGGCGAAAAGAAAAAAAAAGAGCAGTCCAACTAAATTTCTTCCCTCCAAGGGCGTACTAGGGTTTAGGGAAACCTCAGTTTTTTTTTGTGGTCGTCTAAATTTTTTTTTTAATCTTAGGGCAAAAAGGATAATTTGCAAATTTGGATTTTCTCGTCTAAAATTTGGATTTTCCGACATTAGTTTTGAATTTATGTATTAGCCAACTAATGAATTTATTATTCAAATGTAAAACTGAAGTGAAATTATTTATTAAAGGAATAAGGGATTAAGAATTGCAACCATTACATTGCCATTACAATGCCCATGTTGCAATCTCCTCGTTGAGCCTACAGCACTTGTAACACCGCCTAAATCAATAAACGAACAAATTGAAGAAAGCCTCTCAGTGCTATATTATCTGACCATGAAAGATCATGTACACATAACAATCTCATCTCGTATCTATTTATCCCCAGAGATGTCTCATGCGAGTGGAAGTTGATTATTGATAAAGTTTTGAAAAAAATGTTTAAATGAGTGGGGTAAGCAAGAGATGAGCTGTTGTTACCTTGAAAGCTCCATTCTATCTTTAATTTAATCATGTCCTTTTTGTGTTTTTTACTCTTTCTCTCATGAAGAAAAAAGACTAATTTAATCTGTGGAACGTATGTGTTTAATGTTAAAACACCAACCAAAGAAGCTATGACTTACCTTTGGCTTTGGGTCAAGTTGTGTTTTGAAAATTCAATAGAAAATTCGACGAATTTGGTCAAACACATGAGATAGATTTGTTTGTAGTCGCCGGCTCAGATCTGGTCATCTAATGCCCTCCCGAGATCTACGGCTTTCTTCGACAACCCTTTGTCTGGATTCTCTTTCCTGACCGGATTCCTCCGTCGGAGGGAAAATGAATCTTCCGGCAGTAGTAAATGGCGCTGGCTCGGGTTTTCCGGCGGTTTCTGTCGGAGACAAGAGTAATAAGTACCAGAGGATGGACTCCGACGCGGAGGGAACTCGTCAGGATGAATGGCAGAACCACGGCGACAGAGAGACCAGAAGCAACAGAACCAGAAAATACGTTATGGCCTGCGCCTTTTTTGCGTCGTTGAACAATGTTCTTCTCGGTTATGGTAAGTTTCCGTTTACAATCTGATCATCTGAATCGTCTTTTTACTTGTTTGGCTTACAAAAGTTTGCACCTTCCTCCTCCTCTGTTTTTGGTATTTTGTGACTCATGTTCCAGATGTTGGGGTAATGAGCGGTGCGGTGTTGTTCATACAGCAGGATCTCAAAATCACGGAAGTGCAGACGGAAGTCCTCATCGGCAGCCTCAGCATCATCTCTCTCTTCGGCAGCTTAGCCGGCGGCAGAACCTCCGACTCCATCGGCAGGAAATGGACCATGGCCTTGGCTGCTCTCGTCTTCCAGACCGGCGCCGCCGTCATGGCAGTTGCTCCCTCCTTCGAGGTTCTCATGATCGGAAGAACTCTAGCAGGGATCGGTATTGGTCTTGGCGTCATGATTGCTCCGGTCTACATCGCCGAGATATCCCCCACCGTTGCCAGAGGCTTTTTCACGTCCTTCCCTGAGATCTTCATAAACCTTGGGATCTTGCTAGGCTACGTCTCCAACTACGCCTTCTCGGGGCTTTCCGTGCATATCAGCTGGAGGATCATGCTCGCTGTCGGGATTCTTCCTTCCGTCTTCATAGGATTTGCGCTGTGCGTGATCCCTGAGTCGCCGAGGTGGCTGGTGATGAAAGGCCATGTGGACAGAGCACGAGAGGTGCTCATGAAGACGAACGAGCGAGATGAGGAAGCGGAAGAGCGGCTCGCAGAGATACAACTGGCAGCTGCAAAGACAGAAGGCAGCGAGGAGAGACCGGTCTGGCGTGAGCTTCTAAGCCCATCTCCTGCTGTACGGAAAATGCTCATCGTTGGATTTGGGATCCAATGTTTCCAGCAGATCACGGGAATCGACGCCACCGTCTACTATAGCCCAACGATCCTGAAAGAAGCCGGGATACAAGACGAGACCAAGCTGCTCGCTGCGACTGTCGCTGTTGGGGTCACCAAAACGGTGTTCATACTCTTCGCCACCTTCCTGATCGACAGCGTCGGCCGGAAACCGCTGCTGTATGTGAGCACAATCGGCATGACTCTGTGCCTCTTTAGTCTGAGCTTCACCCTCACATTTCTCGGCCAAGGATCGCTTGGCATTACGTTGGCGCTTCTCTTTGTTTGTGGTAATGTTGCCTTCTTCTCTATTGGGATGGGACCTGTTTGCTGGGTCTTGACGTCAGAGATCTTCCCATTACGGCTAAGAGCACAGGCATCGGCGCTTGGGGCAGTCGGGAACAGGGTCTGCAGCGGTCTGGTGGCCATGTCCTTCCTCTCCGTGTCACGTGCCATCACCGTCGGAGGAACCTTCTTCGTCTTCTCCCTCGTATCTGCAGTATCGGTGATCTTTGTGTACATGCTAGTCCCGGAGACAAGCGGGAAGTCGCTGGAGCAAATAGAGTTGATGTTTCAGGGCGGCCTGGAAATTAAAGGCAGTGAAGTCGAGCTTGGAGATGCTGAGCGTCTTGTGCGCAAGGACCAAGAGTTTTGACCTTTGTGGGCAGAATTGGCTAAGACATGTCAAACCAGAAAGAGGCTGAAGTGAAATTATTTATAGTGTTAAAGGAATAATGGATTAAGCATTGCAACCATTACAATTCCATTAGTAGTAATCACTTGAATCCAACCTAGTTCATTTAATATCTTTCCTATAACCCATGTTGCAATCTCCTCGTTGAGCACACAGAACTTCTAACACCGCCTAAATAAACGAACAAATTGAATAAACATCTAACCATGAAAGATCATTTGGTGAAGATAATCCGGTTGATGACATCAACAGGCAAAGCGTAGGCTGGATCGATTGCTTTGACTCCAGGATACTCAAGGAGCGAAAGCCCTGCACCCATTAGATGAAATGAGACCACTTTAGCTTCACATAAACAAGATGAGCTTAAAGGGACGAGGGACAAATCCAAGTTACCCGCAATTCCAAAGTAGGTGTGGAAGATATCAACAGCATCATTAGGTCTATCTGAGATGCCTCCGTTATCCAAATCCTAATCAAAGTATGAAAGATGAGAGCTTTTGAGCAATTAGCAAAAGTATAACTTTTCTTAACGTGTTGGGGACAAACCTGAGAGTCTAAGATGAACTTGACAAGCTTTGCCTTGTCGATCCAGTGAACTCTATCTATCATGATTAGGCTCGATAAGACCCACCAAGAGTAGCAAACCTGGTTAATAAGAACAGTAAAGGTAGAAGTGTGTAAGATCTAGGGAAGTTACAAAGGTCTCTCACTGGAGAAGCTCAAACGCCTACATCAGGGAGTTTCTTGGGTCGTCCATTTAAACCCCCAGACTCGACTTGTCTTTCACATAACCACCAGCCAAGTTTGTCCTTATCAACATGATGGAGATTCCCAGTGATAGCAAGAGCACCCACGCAACAGAAAACTGAAACGATAATAAAGAACAACCATCCTTTACCATATAACGTTACACAAGGTTGTAGCAATAACACCTTAACTACAAAAACAATACAAAATCAAATCAAATAGCATAACATACTCTGTCCTGCATGTGATTCTGCTCCAGGTGTGCACCCGAAACCACCATCCAAGTTTGCAGCTAACAATGTAGTCAACAGCCTTCTTCACATTGATTTTGTCAAGACATTTCAATATTGACAGACAGCATATGGATATGTACGAAAACCTACATAAACAGCAATGCAGTTTCGATTCAACATAGTCTAGTGAAACCAACAAACAGAACTATATATAATTGGAAAGAAAGAATACCTCGTATCTATTTCTCCCCACATATCTCCTGCGAAGGATCCATCTTTGTTCTGCAACCCAGCAACATCTAATTTCATATATAGGAAAACGTAACAGTACCTAACATCTAAGTCCACCATGTTTAGTGGTGAAAAAGAAAGACCTTGTGACGCTAACTATAAACTAAGTACACGGAAAGGATACAACTTGATACTTTTTCAACGTCAAGAATGTTAAGTTTGTCAAAGAGAGCCAAGATTTGCACAGCACTGAGTGTATACAAAACATGTGGATCATGCCCAGTATTACCGGCAAAACCACCTGCCCAGAAAAGAATCACTTGTTATCAACTAACACTGCAGCGATATCTTATGATTAAGGATGAAAATGCGAAACCCTATATCAACTTCAAAGGTCCACATAGTTCTTTTCTTCACTATTCTATTGGCAAGTGAAACTTTGCTGATCTCTGAAAATTCCATATGGTAGAGAAATATAACACTCTGTTACACACCAGATTCATGCTGGCACGTCATGACCCATGAAACCACTTCATCTTCGGAAACAGTGCCCAGCTTCTCGAGTAAGTCCAGAGTAGTGAGTCCCCAGTATGCACCATTCATTCTTAGATGATCCATCACCACAGACTCAATACCCTCTTTCTCCTATCAAGTATTTACAATCCGAAAGCAATTGAGTACGAGAACATAAGTTGTATAAATCATCATAGTGACATAAATAGGTGATATAGTTTTCTAGTACCTTTTCAGCCATCAGAATGTAACGTACATGCTTGTCAGCTGCAAGCTGACCCATCTGCCATTAATTTATTCACAGCAGATTCAGTAAATTCGCACAAATGGAAGAATCATTGTAAAAATCAGTAGAGCACAATTCTCAAACCCAAATCATAGATGAAATTAGTTGCATCAATGATGAGTAAGATTGATAAAGAAGCACATTCTTTCAAACCTCAATAGCTTGAATTCAGACGATAAAAAACAAATGCAACTTTCAAATTCAGATTACAAAAAAACGAGACCCAGCAAAGACCAGTCCTGAGCTACAAATAAATCCTCTAGCAAATAATGAAAACCTGAACTATTAATAACAGAACAAAAAAAATGAAAAAAGAAGATCATTTGTCTCAAATTAAATAGAGATTATGCCCATGAGAATAAAAAAAACTGGTTACCTGGAAGAAAGAAGACGTAGAGCTCATCAGCTTGGAGCGAGAAAAGAAGTTGCGATTTGGAGAGACTTTAACCTTTCTCTTAACATCAAACTCTCATTTCTTTAACAAAAATCGGTTTTTGTTTTAAGTATGAATCGTACCGGACAATGCGGAAATGTCCTCAATTCGATATTCCGGTTTGGTTCTCTCACTTGATCCCATCTGACTTTGACTTTGCGTTGCGTTGACGAAAATTGATCGGCCAATAGCAGAGAATGGAATATTTAAAGAAGGTGAATTATATAGAAAAGACAGCTGGTGGGAGATGTTTGTGTCATCAATGGCAATGAGACCTTGTTAGCAAAAAAAGAAAAAAAATGGCAATGAGACCTATGGATGCAATCTTCTTCTTCCTCTCTCTACTTCTTCTGATTCCTTCGCCTTCCGTCTCAGATTCGGCTACTCAGGTGTGTGTGGGTGTGTTTGATCATCACTATCTGTTTCTACTTTCTGGCTTTGTCTCGTTGTTTGATCTTTTTCTCTTCAAGGATTGTTCATCGTATCGAGTTGGGTTTGTTACAAGCTACTCTGAAAGCTCCGTACAGTTAAAATTCTCTAATTTTTAAGCATAACCTTTTGAGCTAGTAACAGATAATTTAAGTTATTTTGCTAAATCCAATACAGTAACTTCGAAATAGAAGAAAGAAAGATGACAACTTTGGAGACTGATTTTCAATCTATGAAAGAAACTTAATCATATGAAAATTCGACTCTCAAGTACCTGTCTGATGAGATTTTGAATGTGTTGTCTTTTTGGCAGTTTTGTAGTGCAGGGAACGGGTATGAAGTGGAATCTTGTGGGGTTCCATCTTCTTCTTCTTCGTCTTCATCGACGAGGATTTTGATCAAAGGAGGTACAGTCGTGAACGCACACCATCAACAAGTTGCAGATGTCTATGTGGAAGATGGGATTATTGTCGCCGTGCAGCCAAACATTAAGGTATTATTAGAGTGTATAGTGGTTTATACCTTGGTTTAGTTTCTGGTTTAAGTTTACTTTGGCTTAATCAGAGTACTGTATTAATGAGAAATATAATTCCACCTTAATAGTTTTCTTATTACTAACTTTTTGTAATGTATATCCTTCATATTTTTGTTAGTTCTAAATTCCATTTTGTTTCTGCTGTTGCTCTGTATCAGGTTGGGGATGAAGTCACTGTACTCGATGCTACTGGAAAGTTTGTCATGCCAGGTTTAATCAATTCACACTAATTAATGATACATTCATCAATTTTGGCCTTTTTTTTTCTACGGATACATAATCCTACTGGATCCCTAGAACATATTAAGACATGATTAGACTTCCATCATCTTCTTCTCTCTTATCTTCTTCTATAATTGAATGTAAACAGGAGGCATTGACCCTCACACGCACCTCGCCATGGAATTTATGGGTACTGAGACTATTGATGATTTCTTCAGTGGTCAAGCAGCAGCATTAGCTGGTGGAACCACTATGCATATAGATTTTGTTATACCGGTTAATGGGGATCTGGTGGCTGGTTTTGAAGCCTATCAAAACAAATCCAGAAACTCGTGCATGGACTATGGTTTTCATGTGGCGATCACAAAGTGGGATGAAGATGTTTCCAAGGACATGGAGATATTGGTCAAGGAGAAGGGTATTTGTCTCGTGACACTTTGGTTTCTATCCCTTTAGTTTACCAGATAAGATGAAACTGAGTGCCTTTTTTTTTTCTCTAAACTTATATAGGTATCAACTCTTTCAAATTCTTCCTAGCATATAAAGGATCTCTTATGGTCACCGATGATCTTCTCCTGGATGGCCTTAAAAGATGTAAATCTCTCGGTGCCTTGGCGATGGTACATGCTGAAAATGGAGATGCAGTGTTCGAAGGACAGAAGAGAATGATTGAGCTGGGCATTACAGGTCCAGAAGGTCATGCTCTTTCGAGGCCTCCTGTGGTATTTTTCTTTTTTGTAACACTGCCTCGTTGATTTTACTCTTCTCTTGTTTATGTTCAAGCTAAAAAATGAGGATCCTTTTTTTACAATGGCAGCTTGAGGGAGAAGCAACTGCTCGGGCCATTCGTTTGGCTCGTTTTGTTAACACGCCTCTCTATGTTGTTCATGTGATGAGTGTCGATGCAATGGATGAGATCGCTAAAGCTCGAAAATCAGGTCTTTTTGTTACAACTCATGTAGGACCTAAGTGTTTTGTATGGAAATAATCAATCTTTGATCCTAACAATCATTAGTGTAATTAAACGTATGGGTTGTTTCTGAAGTCCCTTTCAAATTATTTATAGCTTGTCTATCTCAATAACATTTTTGTAATGTATTTTCAGGACAGAAGGTTATTGGAGAGCCTGTTGTGTCTGGATTAATCCTTGATGACCATTGGCTTTGGGATCCTGACTTCACAATTGCATCCAAGTAAGATATTTTTCAAGTCTCAAATGATTCCCATTTATTCCTTCAGGTTTTCTCAATATTTGTGCCTGAAACTTTCAGGTATGTCATGAGTCCGCCTATTAGAGCAGTAGGACATGGGAAAGCCCTACAAGATGCCCTTTCGACAGGAATCCTTCAGGTTTCGTTCCTCTCTATGACTAAAGTATAGAAACATGACCTATATAGCATAAACATTTTTAAAACAGTCTTCTCTTGTTTTCTTGGTATTATCTCTGCAGCTTGTAGGAACTGATCACTGCACTTTCAATTCTACACAAAAAGCTTTTGGGATTGATGATTTCCGCAAAATACCTAATGGTGTTAATGGTATATAACAGGCTCTATGTGCTCATCGTCTTTGCTTCTTTACTATATAGTAATTTGTAAAAATAATTTGAACTTGTCCATATTTAAGGCCTTGAAGAACGGATGCACCTGATATGGGACACGATGGTGGTAAGTACTTGTAGACTTAAAATCTTGTTTGTTTACAGAAGCTGTAATCGTTTTTTGTGTTTTATATAATCCAGGGGTCTGGCCAAATCTCTGCTACTGATTATGTTAGAATAACCAGCACCGAGTGGTATATATATATATACTCTTTTCATGTTGAAACTATGCTTGTCTTTCCAGTATCTCTAAGTTGGTGAATTCAGTATTGACTGTGAGCTTGAAATGATTTGTCAGTGCTAGAATTTTCAACATATATCCACGGAAAGGAGCTATACTTCCTGGCTCGGATGCAGACATTATTATATTGAATCCGAACTCGAGCTTCGAGATCAGCTCAAAGTCTCATCATTCAAGATCCGACACAAACGCCTACGAGGGTATAAGAGGAAAGGTAATTAAGCATTTCACAAAGTCTCTCTCTTGACTGACTTGTATAAGAAGTCAAATGAAACAACATTTTGTTCTCAGGGAAAAGTTGAAGTGACGATAGCGGGAGGAAGAATTGTGTGGGAAAACGAGGAGCTTAAGGTTGAACCAGGAAGTGGCAAGTATATAGAGATGCCTCCTTTCGGTTACCTTTTCGATGGTATTGAGAAATCAGATGCTAACTACCTATCTTCTCTTCGTGCTCCTGTCAAGCGTGTCAGATCCGTTGCTACATAATTTGCAGATAACTGTGTGTTCATTTGTTTCTCCTGTAAAAATATTTGTAAATAACATTTTCTTTTTCCATTAAAGAAAGATCGAAAGAGCGATTCTGAATAATGTGCATGTATGTGAGAGTATTCTTGTAATTATCTTCTTAGCTTCAGGTTTAGTAGCTGTTTAGTATCTGATTTTGTTTTGGGAGCTAGCTTCTACCACTAATTCTGCATAACAATGAACGAAACTCGAGTTCCGGTTTTGCAATAGATTATCAATACAACACATATCGGTTTGGTCGGTTTAATTTGGTTTAGTGGTTTACGTAACACCGTCAATAAATTTGGTAGGGTAAGACGATTTTACCCTTTCGTAATCCCATCATCTACCCTTTCTCTTCTTATTTCCATCATTTTCCATCGGACTAGAAATTTCTTTTCCAATAGAAGAGGATTTTTCTCGGCGACGGTGGTGGTGGTACAACAAAATCACCGGCTAAAGGAGGAGGAGAAGGAGATAAAGCTATGACGACTATCAGTCTCCGGAAGCAAAACACGAGGCTCCCACCGGAGGTGAATCGCGTGCTCTACGTGCGGAACCTTCCGTTCAACATAACGAGCGAGGAGATGTACGATATCTTCGGCAAGTACGGCGGGATTCGCCAGATTCGGATCGGCTGCAACAAGGACACTAAAGGCACGGCCTTCGTCGTTTACGAGGACATCTACGACGCCAAGAACGCCGTCGACCATCTCTCCGGCTTCAACGTCGCCAATCGGTACCTCATCGTGCTCTACTACCAGCACGCGAAGATGAGCAAGAAGTTCGACCTGAAGAAGAATGAAGAAGAGGTTGCCAAGCTGCAGGAGAAGTATGGAGTCTCTACCAAAGATAAGTAATAAACCGTGTCCTCGATTCCATGTTCACCTTGCGATTTAGGGTTTTTTTATTTGGGGGAGATTTGATATCTGTATGAGTTTGGTGGAGCTGCTCTGTTTCTCGTATTGAACTTTTGTGCTCTTTTGTCCTTTATATCAATGAAAAATACCTCTTTTTAACTCCAAATAGCTATTGCTGTTACGAAATTTTGTGTGTTTGGTGCATTTGATGATGATCTTGGATTAAACAATATCATTTTGCTTAGAATTTGCTGCCTTTGTATTGTTTCAGGATTGTTGTGTCATGTGTTTTGATAGGAAGTAAGAACAAATATCACTAACACATACAAGAGAATTGAAAAAGAATTTTTAAGTACATTGAGAAACCCATATGGCACTTAAAGCAGTAGTAGACAGACAACCAGAAAAGAAAATGTACATAAATCAAACACCTCCCCCAAATCCCTAGTTAATGATTTTTTTTGTTTGTTTGTTCCTTCTTGAGCCTTATCCTCCCTTAAAAGATCTCCTCCAGTTCAATCCACTAGCAATCCGAGCATACTTAGAATAGTTTTGATATTTGCTTTGCCTTTATACCCTGCTCTCTTTCTATCTTCTCTCTTCCTCTACTTCAACAGTTGTTCATTTAAATGAGAGGTCACGCCGCTTCTTTGGGATCTCCGGGTTTCCTTTTCTCATCATTGCCACAAATTCATCATAGTTTATCCGTCCATCCTGCACATTTTGTTTAGTCATTAGAAATTTGGTGTTACTGATAATGAGATTGTTAGCTGCTTGTTACATTTGAAAGTGACTGTTGTTCCTTACATTGTCTCCATCAACCTCAGAAATGATCTCTTTAATGTCTCTGCCATCATTCATGCCAAACTCCCTGAGGGCTTGCTCCAGCTCTTCCATAGTGATATATCTGGAATCGCCAAGCATTATTTCAAGTGTCATTCTCTTTTTGGTGTTTAAAATCTCTCAAGTATCAATTATATAACAAACTGTTGAAGTGCTTACCCGCTGTTGTCTTTGTCAAAGTGTTGGAAGGCTGAGTAGAGATGTTCTTCTCTGTCAAGTCTGTTAATATGCATTGTGGCTGCGATAAACTCACCATAGTCTATTGTTCCATTGCCATCAGCATCAGCCTAGAAAACAGAAAATCAGTGATGATGAGTCTCCTTCCTTGTTGCTCATTATTTGACAAAAAAAAGGGCTTAAAATTGCTGTTAGTACGGAAACGACTCACAGCTTCCATCAACTGCTGGACTTCGTACTCTGACAACCTTGTACCTTGCTTAGCAAGTCCTTGTCTTAGCTCCTCGAGTGTAATTGTTCCACTGCTATCAGTGTCCATACCTTTAAACATCTCCTTCAACCCCATGATCTCTTCCTCTGATAAGCAACCTGCTATCACCTGTTCAAGTGTTTCAGGTTTTAAGGTTAGGATACACTACTGCTGAGAGGCATATTCAACTCGTATTTGGTAATTGGGCAAGGAATGTGATTTTGTTACCCGTAATGCAACTTTTTTGAAATTGTTCATTGCTTTGAATTGCTTGAGCCTGGACATCACCGCATTGTCAAGAGGAACATCTGGTGCCTCTCCATCCTCCTTGATCCATGGATGGTCTTTACAAAGGAAATAATAAGAAAGAGAGAAAAAACATTAACTGGCATGGATTTTTATGATTTTAGATGTGTTTGCAGATGCTTACTGAGAACTTGGGCAGCAGTGAGTCTTTGCTTGGGATCAGAGTTGAGCATCTTCTTGACAAGATCCTTCGCCTGAGTTGAGATGGATGGCCATGGATCACTTGAGAAATCAACATGTCCCCTTAGGATGGCGTTGAATATTCCGTTCTCCGATTCTATCAACAGGTAGGTCATCACACAACACATGAATATATATGATTTAATTATTTTTTGGGTAGACTACAGAAAGAAGAAACAGGAATATATATTTACCAGCCCAGAAGGGTGGGACACCACATAAGAGGATATACAACATAACACCAATACTCCAAATATCGGCCTCTGGTCCATACTTCCTTTTCAAAACCTCTGGTGCGATGTAATAAGCACTACCCACAATATCCTTGAACACCTCTCCTGTAACACATAGGAAACAAAATTTCTATTAACAACGATTCGTGTTACTTTTGTTATGCAGGGTTTTGCAAATTGCAGGAACCTGGCTTGTAGAAAACGGACAGCCCAAAGTCGGTGGCTTTGAGAGGAGAATTCTCATCTTTGTTGAGCAAGAGGAAGTTCTCAGGCTTCAAATCCCTGTGAATAACCCCCATTGAATGGCAAGTATGCACAATCTGAACAATGGTTCTTAGCAACGAAGCAGCTGCTCTCTCGGAGTAATGTCCTTTAGCGATGATCCTATCGAACAACTCTCCACCCGCGCAAAGCTCCATGACCAAATGCACAGAATGCTTATCCTCGTAAGCTCCTTTAAGCTCCACGATGTTCAGCTGACCAGTCAGGTGATGCATTATCTGCACTTCCCTTCTTACATCCTCAATGTCTTCTTTGTTCACAAGCTTCCTCTTCGCGATCGTCTTGCAAGCGAATTGCTGACCTGTCGCCTTCTGCGTGCAGAGGTGCGTCACACCGAATTGGCCTCTGCCTAGCTCTTTCCCTAGAGAGTACGAAGCTTTTACATCTTCCATGGGTCGACCTAAGACAGGTCCGATAGGGCCTTGTTTGGTTGCAGGAGGAGGAGAAGGAGGGGCGTGTTTGGCTTGTGGTACAGAAGCTTCAGCGGTTGGACCAGCCTGATTGGCGGCGTTTGAAGCGGTTGCTACGTTTTGATGGGTGGGCCCATCTCCGTTTTCGGCTGAGTCCCGTCCGTGAGAGCAACAATTTCCCATTGTTGCATTAAAGGGTGGGGGAGAGGAAGGAGGTTTAGCTCAAAGGAGGAAGAAGAGAAATTGAAATGTTTTTTTTTTGTGTGTTTTTTTTTTCTTCTCCTATTTTTTTTTTCTTCCTCTGGTTTTTGTTTCTTCTTTAGCAAGAAAATTTTAGGTGTTTTGGTTGTGAATGGCTATGAATAGAATGTTTTGGTTTTCTTTTTTCTCTTCGCTGGCCTTCGGTTCGAAGGATTATGGGGTTTGTTGATAGGGAGGGAGTTTAGGACCAAAGCTTGTCTGTATTTTTGATATTTAAAGTAAAAAAAGATATTTAGGATTTAGGACAAAGGTTGAGAGCATTTCCTGGGGATTTCGATATTTGTTTACAAAACTGTCTCTGTACTTATCTTCCAAATGTCAAATACTCTACCATATGTATATTTTTAAAAATCAAGATTGAATGCATTTCATGAGAAACTGACATGTAGCAGAGTATTTTAATTCATCATACAAAGACTAATTAGGAGTATATATAACATAATATATAACCTTTCAATGTTTTTTATATTGATAAATCGAATAGCATAAGTTTTACATGGAAAATTTAAACTCAACACTATATATGGGACGGCTCTTACAAAAGATTGTTCTACTAACGGCCGAACAATAATACAATCACCAAATGTCAACTTTTCCAATTAACATCATCAAAATAATTTATGACATGATAATCATAAATCTCTCCGATCTCTTAATAGAAATCGAAAACCCTAATTAGACCCTTCTCTAAGTGGAAGGAGGTGAAGGGTTGGCTTCTTTTGGTGTCCAACTGTAAAGAAGCATTCCCAGGACAAGTATCATTGTTCCTCCCATGAACCCTTTTGGAAGTGATGATGCAACTCCCAGGTACGGTAATGGCAATGTGAACAGAAACACTGCAACGGGCACTGACACTGTCGACGCAAGACACGAAACCACCGCGGATGAAATCTTGAGGAGTCTTAAAAGCGCAATGTTATAGCCAATGTTGACGATCACAAACAATAGAGGCAAAAACGGAGCGCCATCACATCCTCTTGTCATCGAACCGATGTTTAGAAAGCAAACCGCGCCATCTTTTAGATAGCTACCGAGTTGGTTAAACGGTATGCCCCAAAGTTTCGAAAGAAATGGAAGAAGCAAGGCGATGCAGATGGCCTATTTGGTCAAAATCACACCAAAGAGACAAGATTATCTAGCTTGTAATGCAAGTTAGTGCTCAAAGAGAGAGAGAGAGAGAGAGAGAGTGAGGGGAATTTGTGTAGGCTAAGAAAGACCTACTTGGAAAGCTGAACCGTATGAGTTTACTATAAACAGATCGAGTGAAGCACCCTGTGATAGTAAGAGCAGATGATTTTTCAGTATTCCAAACACACACAAAAAATGTTAATGCGTATTGAGGATTTGTGGATATGTAATGTACCTTCAATCGTTTTTGGCTATCTATAAAGATGACTTCCTATAAGAAAAAGGAATCTGAGATTAAAGAGAATAATGGCACTCATATTAAAAAAGGCCTGTAAGTTGGAGATTAACGGACCTTCAATACTGTATCTGCTCCTTGAAGCAGGAAAGAAAGGACCATAAGAAGAATCCATAATATTCCAGCTTCCTTTAATGAATGAGCAGCACCTGATCCACTACAGATGCAGAAAAGAAAAAAACAAGGTTGGTGTGGTTCCTCCTGTTGTGTCCTTTGTGAAAATACCAAAAGAAATGTCGAGCAAGAAGGACTGATCAGATCTAAACCTTGCCACACTAACGATTACACCAAGGGCTACAAGAGTGCATCCGAGTATTTGGTTTATGCTATATCTCCTCCCGAGAAAAATAATGGAGAAGAAAATTTGCCATACAAGAAACGTCTGCAAGAAAACAAACGAACGAGAGTATATATTTATTTAACACTTGAACCTGATAGATATCACCCATCATGCATGCCTTTATTAGTTATGATCTAAAAAGGTTTTACTTATACAGCTTCTAACCTGAGATATAACTGTAGTTGATGGCCCCGAAAGATTTGCTGAGTAAAGAAAAGTAAAAACAAAAATCATATGAATACAGTCGATCTCGTGAGATGAAAGGCATTTAATTATGCTTTTCATAACACTCTCACTCCCGTGTGATTCCAATTTAAATAAGGATCGCGCAGATAGTAGCGTAAATGTAATGTTACCTGCGGCTGCCATCCCAGCAGCTGCAGCTAAAGCCTGCAAGACGCCAATAATTAAAAACGGCGTTTTGGGCACCGAGAGCATCGCATCTGTAACAGTTCCATCACGATATCGAAAATACAAGATAGAATAATATACAGCTACGTACCTACACGAAGGAAATACCAAAAGAAGAATGTTTCTTGTGTAAACTGAAGTTTGTTATATAAAAACAAGATGTTTCTTTCGAGGACATCATATAAGCAATAAACGAAATTAATACGAGAAAAGAAAAAATTCACAGCGAATTGATCAAAGTTTCAGGTCCACCAAAAACAGAGCAATCATTATATAGATGAAAAAATGGTTTTGAGAAAATCTTTACCCAAACCATTTAGATGGGTTTGAGAAAATGTTACCATAATTACTTATGTGTGGCTTAGTTTCAGCTACCATAAAAAAATTGGTCATAGAAATGTTATATATAGCTCATAGTTGTTGTATATACATATTATCTGTTTGGTTTACTAAGGGTTTGAGAAATACTACATACACAAAATGGAAACAAACCATCAATTCGGTTTGCATTGGTCTGGTTCAACTTGGTTTAGTATATTCAGCCTCAGAAAGTTAAGTACAAGTAGGAGCCATTATGAATTATACTAATCAAGTGTAAGGCCAATGGGACCCATAAGAATATGACTTAGAGGCTGCTAAGGGACGGGATAATGATATGGACGGACGTTATCTGATTTGGTTCCACCACCTTTTTTGTGTGTGTGTGTTGTTGATTAATTTGGTTCCACCAACTTACAACGTTGTATTTTTTTTTTACCTCTACGCATATTCAAGTATTTCTTTTTGAAGCATATTCAACAGATTGAATTTGCATATATTCGTAAAACGAATCAGTGCGTATAGTTTGTGCTAAATAAATCTATTACACAAAAATCTGTTTTCATTAGTAAAAAGTGTTTGTTTAAAAAATGGTATAAATCTAAACTGGGACCAGTCATGAATGTTTAAATAAATTAAAAAAAAAACGTGTATTTATTGCATGTGGGGAAATGATACGGGGCAAGGCAATAATGTCCCAAGTAGTATATATAAATATCCAAAATCTGACCCGGTTCCAAAAAATTCAAGAAAAACAAAATGTTTCGAATTTATTCGTATCTCCCCTTGCATTTTCAAAATGTATAACATCACACCTCACAGTTTCGGAGTTATCAATTAATTTTCCAAGACGACCCCAATTGTAAATTTCAGTCAAGTACATTGTTGTTTACTTCTTTTGTGCAAACAACCGACAAATAAATCTGGACTTGAGAACTCTAAATTTATGCTTACCAGAGAGATGGCAGATGCCTAAATAAAATAAAAAACTAGAATTCAATTGTAACTTATAAGATTAAGAACGTATTAGGATCTAATAAAACTAAATTAACGTTAGTAAAGCAAAACAAAAAAAAAAAAAAATACAGAAATGAAGGAGGCCAGAGATGGTTTTACCCAAAGGTGGAGAGTTGCGCGAGGAAGAAGGGATAGTGCTTGAGTGGAACTAACGCGAGCTTGTACATCACGCGGTTCCCGACCCCCAACGCCGCCGTAGCCACCGCCCAAATCACTATCTCCGTCGTCTTGACATGCGCTCCGCCAACCACGTGGTCACCGCTCCCTCCGATCTCGTTATCGCTGATCGCGTAACCGCACACGCCTGGCTTTTTACTATCCGCCGCTTCAGCTCCTCCGTCGACAGATCCATCCCAGGATCTCGCCGGTGGAACCGCTTCGATTATCCACCGCTTGGAGCTCGGAGCGATTGACGACGGTAGACGACGACGACTGATGTGGTTGTTTCGACGGATTAGGGAGATGGTTTGAGGCTGAATCGCGGAATGCGATTGGACCGAGCTGATGGATGCGATCAAACCGGTGGTTAAGCGGCGGGAAGTGGCTGCCATGGTTGAAGAATGAGAAACCGATTTTGCTAGCTTTGAGGGAGAGTGAATGGAGGGAGACGGAAGTGACTTACTGATTTGGACTTTTGCTTTTATTATCTTTTGTTTTGAAACAATTTGCATTATTAAACACACACGCTGCTTCCCCAACTTTTTGCATTTTACAAAAATAAGACAAACCAGAAACGAGTTTTTGAGTTTTTGCACACTATAATACATTTGGATTGTCAATTATATAAAGACCAGAAAACATAAGCGACACCTTAGACCATTTCCATTTCTAACCCCAAACGTCACTTCAGAAGAAATAATTTTCCAATAGCACCTCACGTCTATTTCCATTTTCAGAATCGATCTATACTTTTTTTTTTAATTGTGCAATCTTTAATAAAAACTCAATCATCAAATTCAATATGAATCAACAAAATAACCAAGTAATCGTTCTTCATTTCTGGATTTTTTTTTTTCATCCACCGAAATCGAAAAAATGTACATTGTACAATTATTTTTCAATTATCCCAGTTTACAATGATGATTTTCATATAGGATATCTTTTTGTAATTATATTAATTACTTCGGATAGGTAGTGCTGTACAAATATGTTAATAATTGTTTATGGAAAATTACAGTATTGTTGGTGCTTGATCAAAAATAATATCTACAAATCTCACGATTGATGATTGAATATTTCTTCTTGTGTTTTGAAAATCAAAAAATATTGTATGCTTTGATTTCATATGTATAAATAATGTGAGACGACAAAAGAACAAAAGTAATAAGAAAGGGTAAGACATGTCTTTGACGTGGCGCCTTTTTATTGGACTGATGCACAGAATTATACTACACCGTGTTGTGCCTGACCTTACCCTTTTCTCTCCCGTCTCTCGCTTCACTCAGCTTCTCTCCTCTTGTAGCTGCAGTAGGTTAGACTAATCAATAGCTTCTTCTTTTTGTTTAATTTTCGCAGCGAAATCGCTGGAAAGCAAAAGGAAGTCTTGCCGAGGAAATGGGAGTTAAAGAGTCAATCGACTCGGGCTAATGTGTTTCATTTGATTCGTCTTCGGGAAAGAAAGCATTTTCGGTTTTCCACGTTTTTGATCTTTTTGGATGCGTCGTTTGTGGTTTGATTAAGTCTACTTCTGCAATGGCGGCTTCTTTAGCGGCTATGTATCGGCCACAAGCTGTAGCTTCGAATACGGTAATCACAGTCTCTAGTCTGATTCCTGTTTGATTTGTGGGAAATTAGTTAATCGATGAGACAAAAGATCAGTGCTTTTTGTTTCGTATTTGATGTGACACTGAGCAAGTGTGATTTTTTCTTTCGAAAGATTAGATTTTGCTCAAATGATTGTATTGGGTCGAGACCGAGTTGCAGCACTTTAATTAGAGGTGAATATATGTGTTCTTGCAGATACTGTGGTTCGAATTCATCAGTTCGATAAAGTCAGAAATACTTCAACTGTAAATGAAATATCACATCCCGATTAGTATTCTTATTATACTTCTAGAGAATGTTGGTTCAGTTTTTCTGTTATTGTGTCCCAGGTCTTAGAATTAGACAATTGTTTAGTTTCACTGGTCCGGCGGTAATAGAAGAGTCTTTCAGATACGTTTGTTCTTTATATCTATAGCTTAAGTGGTTTGATTTGTATAACAATTCCAGAGTAAAGCAACTAATGATAATCTTTTACTGTATATGAATTTTTGACAGGTTTACAAGAGTGGTCCTCTCTTCATTTCATCAAAAGGTGGAGCTTCTATATCTCCCCGTTTTTCTAAGACTATCTACTCTGCTTCTCTACGCATTGTGTATCAGTCTTGATTCCTTAGTTACAACCATCTTGTTTTTTACTGATTTTCTTGTGGCATTTTAATTGGCAGGACTTGGTTGGACATCTTGGAAGAAGCGTTGGTTTATCCTTACCCGAACTTCTTTGGTGTTCTTCAAAAATGATCCAGTCAGTATTTGTCATCCTTTTATGCGATCTTTCTCCAACCATTTAATACTTATACTGTTGAGCTTTTGGAACCTAAGATTAAAAAAAAAAGACACCTAAAGATATTGCAAATTTAAAGGCTTTAGAATTCCCAAAATTTACACTATCAACTCCCAAAAATTTAGAACTTTTTATAGTTTACAGCTTTAGCTCATCATTTCAACTGTTTGACAGAGTGCACTACCACAAAAGGGAGGTGAAGTAAATGTGACTCTTGGAGGCATTGACTTGAACAGTTCGGGGAGGTATAAATTTGCTGTGGCTGTGGTTGTTTATACGAAAATATCCAACTTTCTAGTCTGTGTTAACATCCTCGTTTGCAGTGTCGTAGTGAGAGAGGATAAGAAGCTGTTGACTGTATTATTCCCAGATGGGCGTGATGGACGAGCATTCACCCTTAAGGTGATTTATATATATAAGAAGCTGACTTAATTTTTTTTTCTTCTTCGTCTTTTGTCATGGGTTATGATTCCTTGCTAATTATTTGTCTCTCTTAGGCCGAGACGTTGGACGACTTGTTTGAGTGGAAGACAGCCCTTGAGCAAGCCCTTGCACAAGCTCCTAATGCAGCACTAGTGATTGGTCAAAACGGGATATTCCGAACAGAAGCAAACAATACAATTGAAGGGTCCTTTAATTCATGTTAGTTCTCATTTATTTATTATTATCAGCTCCTCCGCTATGGCTCCTTTCATATTTCATATTTGTATGAATCACACCGTGGCATGCAGGGAGGGATCAGCGCCCATTGAAGTCTTCGGTTGTTGGAAGACCAATTTTGCTTGCTCTAGAAGAAATTGATGGAAGTCCATCGTTCCTCGAGAAAGCTCTTCAATTTCTTGAGACATATGGTACGTATTGGCCTCGTAATTTAATTAGTTTCCTCTCATTTTTATGTTTTTTAAAAATCTCATATCGTTATTCTCTGTTGTTTATCCTCTAGATAGTTGATTTGTTTTTTTATTATCTTCAGTGCCATATATGATTGCTTTCTTTTAATACATCATATAGGCATTGTAGAAGTGGTTTTTTGTTTCTAATTGCCCATATAAATGTTTTTGTTTTAATCGTGCACCTTTTTGTCTGCGCAGGAACCAAAGTAGAGGGAATCTTAAGGCAGTCTGCAGATGTTGAGGAGGTAGAACGCAGAGTTCAAGAATACGAACAAGGTATTGATTCTCTACATATGAACCCTTTCTTTTGGGTCTAAACATCCGAAAGGTAATATACATTTCTGATTTCTTTCGCTTAATTTTCCAAATGTACTTTTCTAGGCAAGACAGAATTCAGTCCCGAAGAGGATCCACATGTTGTTGGAGACTGCGTTAAGGTAATATACTGTGGGTCAGTTATAATTTTCAGTTTTATTTATTGCGTTGAAACATTTGTGTAATGTTATTGTATCTGCAGCATGTTCTGCGGCAGTTGCCTTCTTCTCCAGTTCCAGCGTCGTGCTGCACTGCTTTGCTGGAAGCTTATAGTAAGTCCTTCTGTATATGGAATCTAAGTTTGTACTTTGGCGTATGTGTGTATTGTATATAACTCGCTTTTTGCCTTCTTGTCTGTAGAAATTGATCATAAAGAAGCCCGGGTTAGATCACTGCGCTCTGCTATAATTGAAACATTTCCAGAACCAAACAGGCGACTACTACTGCGGTATGCTTTCATAACCTTTAATATGATCGCAGAACTACTTAGGCATTCTATTTATGCATTGAACTTAGAAGGATATTTAAATCCTCAGCTGCATATGCCCTGGGATATATGTGGTGCTCTGCTTGGAAGTCCATTATTTAGGTTGCTTCAAACAGCTTTATCCTCAGAGTTGGGTTTTATTCTGCAGGATTCTAAAGATGATGCATACGATCACCTCTCATTCCTCTGATAACCGGATGACTTCATCCGCTGTAGCTGCTTGTATGTCTCCATTGCTCCTGCGTCCTTTACTGGCTGGAGAATGTGATCTAGAAGGTTTCGACACTCTGGGAGATAACTCTGCCCAGCTTCTTGCTGCTGCTAATGCTGCCAATAATGCACAAGCCATTGTCACAGCTCTTTTGGAAGACTATGGGAATATGATCAATGTAAGATGCCATTCGATCGTTTGATTAATATCTGGTGCCACACAATATACTATATGCTCAACTATTTATTTGCAGGATGAAGATCTTGGAAGATGCTCCATTTCTACTGATTCTCATATTGGCGACAGTGGGCCTGAGAACTCAAGTGATGAAGAGGACATTGAGGTTAAACGTCCTGACTTACATAATCTGGATATACGAGAAGCGGGAACAGATGATGATAGTGATGTCCTGGTGAGCAGAAAACCGAGTGAGAGCAGTGATTATACTGGCAGTGATCTGTATGATTACAAGGTTTGTTTCTTCCCATCTTATCCCACTATCACATAGCGAAACTGGTATTGTTTAAAGCAGAAAGAAAATCAATCATAATTTATTATCTTCTCTCAGGGATTTGGTGTTGAAGATTCAGATGCTGAGTCTCCTAGAGACATCCATTGTTCAGCGGAGAGTACAGACTTGCCCACTAGAGTGAAAAGACATATTGAAGAGCCTATTAAGGATATAGAAATTTCCAGCGTATCACCTCCTGAAAACTGTTATCAATCAGGGAGAGAGGCCATGCCATCAGTCAATCCCAGTACTCCTCTCACTGCCCCTAGATACACAACTTCAGCTGAAAAACCTGCAAATAAAACTACTGGTTTATCAACACCCAACGCAAAGCGTTCTTCATCCTGGGGAAGAGGCAACGTAAGTTTTCCACTGCTGGCATGAAAAGTGATAATTCTGTCGTCATAGCTCAATTCCAATCTTTGTTTACGGTGTGCAGGGCAAAAAAACACCGGCTAAAGGATCATTTGATAATTCAGGAAATGACGAGTAAGATACTCAATCCTGAATGCGAATATTGTGGTTTTATAACACTCATATTTACCATCTACAGTAGCAGTATAGTAGAGGACATCAGTTTTTGTAGCTTTTTTTTTTTCCTAATTACAAAGCTGAATATATGATATGTAGGGTTAAATAGTTCAAAAACCTCGAAGTCTTTACTGAAGCAATATCTGACTTCACTCTTAATTTGAGAAAAGAAAAAAAAAATCCTGCCGTTCAACATATGAGTTTTCTTTGTTCTTATGAGGTTGACTTATGCTTATGAAAATGCTTCTTGCTGCTTGTAGGCTTCTTATACAAAGGCTTGAGCTCATGA